CCAACGGACTTTCCATATATGTGCGCAATTAACATTCGCTCGTACAGTGAAAGAGAAAACCACCAAAAATGTAGACAGCGTATGTCAGGCACAGAAGGCTGATCGACTATTTGAAAAAAAAAACAAATAATCACGAAAGAAATCTGAGGCCCAGACCTAAAAGGTTGTAACGCCAAAAGTTAGTCCTTTTATAGTTTTGATGACATATTTGTCTGTTTTCTTCTATTTTGTTATTGCGCACTGCCATAAAAACGTTCCCATTATATCTGTAAACATATCCATTATGTTTACACTTTTCGTAACGACACCATTTTGTGAAATTACTGAACATTTCTCCTATAGCTATATACAGTCCGCAGTTTACTAGATATAACATTAAATTAAATTACAGTGATATGAAAATGAATTCTAAATGTCTAAATTAAAGTGATCTAATTTCTTCAGATATAATTGTTATACATTTTAATGAAAGTTGTATATTAGTATATAAATAGTTGTATAGGAAATTATAATGTAATTCTTCAACAGATAATTATTTTTATTTACAATCAAGTATTTACAATTTTCTTAATCTTCAAAGTAATAATAAAAATAATTAAAAAGAAAATCAAAACAAATTTAAAAAGTTAAATTAGTTTAAGTTTTTTTGTAAGTTAGTTTTATGCTGCCAGCGTTAAAGGTAGGTGCACTGCCTTGTGACAGGGCTTTAAGGCCCAAGAGTCTCCACTCCAAAGGGAACAAAATCGAAGTTGGAGGAAAGACTCCTATATTTGTGCCGTTTATTATTTTCTGCCTGCTCTGCGGCCGCCCCAGCTTTTTTGCTTGTCCGAAGGAGGTGAGACGGGGCGAACGTGTCCACACAAGTAGCATCCCATACTAAAGCCCGTCCCATTTTCCAAGGGATCAACGACATTCCAACCGGCCGCTTGCCATCGTCTCTTGCGATGCCAGTTGGCTCCAAAGTTGCTGGAACATTGACGGAGGCAAGAGAGCGGCGTATAATGTCAAACGACCTGCACTCTTTTGGCAATGTAGGCCATGGTGTCCAAGGCTACTTACTTCAAACCCACAGGGACGTGTACTAGCAAATAGTTTTTAATTTACTCATTCTTATATCATAAATAGCCATAACAACTTAAGAATCGATTTGATATGATTTTCTTGTAATGTCCTCATTCAACTCGTTTTCATTAGTCATTTTGTATATATATACACATTTTTAACATAAGAAAGTGTCCAATAACGCTACTTACAATCTCTATTGAAGAGAAGACACTCTGTTATTATGTTCTATTTTTTCACTCACTGTTTAGCACTTAATAGTAAGTTGCACTAACACTAATTCACTAGGTCAAATGGTTTTGTCCTTTTCAGTCACTAGGCCCGTGGTATCAAGGAGTTGAATAGCCTCGACATTCACGTGATGGTGGAGCCTATGTTCGTGGGCTTTATATGGTCTTAGTAAAAAAATCGTAAATTTGTTCGACGTCCAGAAGGCAGAAATATGTAGTTTTAAATATATTCAATCATGTGTATGTAATATATATATATAAATAAAAGAATAAACATATACAATGTACGTTTCCGTAATAGTTTTCGACAATTTCCTATAATCTAATATTTTCTTAACATTGCTTTGAACATAAACTGCCTCGAGTCTTTCACGACTAAATTCTTTGAAATGTGTACTATACTACTATATATTTCATTAGATTTTAATGAAACCATTTGAATCCAGTAAAGTTCCTAAAGAATAATAATTATGATGTATATTTACACCTATTAGAATGCTAACATAACTGTTTTTAGAAAAACAATATGACTAACAACATAAAAACTTATATTTATTATTTATACTTATATAAATTAATATCAAAGATAAATTATATAATTTATTCAATATATACATAGATAATTATACTTCTACAGTATCGCAATACAGCGAGGAAACACTGCCAGCCAGGTAACACAGGGACCAACCTTTTTGAATTTGTTGTATTTTTCTATTAATCCATATTTAATTATTATTATTACTATGTAGGTTAAGCATATTGTAAATAATGTATATTGGAAATAATAATTACATGTGTTAATCTTGGAGTTACTTGGAGGAGGCCTTCACCTGCGGAAGGGTTTTTGCAAAATAATTGGGAAATAGATATAACAAATATAAAAAAAATTAGTGTAATTTATTTTCTTACAAATATATATGTAATAAATAGTATTAAGTTTACTTTGTTCTTTTGCAAGAAATAAATAGGCTTTCTTATTTTTTTTTATTGTATGTTTTAATCAGAAAGAGCTTTAAATGTAAATCTTTGGTCAATTTAATTAAATAGAGCCAAGTATCCATTGAATTGGTTCCAACCAATGTTGATCGGACACGTTCTCGCTTATAATATGGTATGTCAATTACACGTCCATGAGGTACGTGGTGAGGCAGAAAAAGCATTGTTTATCACCAATGGTATAAACGGTCGTTGCAACATTGGCCTGTTACATTGTTGATTATCTACAGGAATTTTCCACTCCATCGAAATGTTTGATGTGACGAGGCCCTTACGGTGAAAGTTTGTTATTGAGGTGCCAGCATGCCTACGGGACAAAATGTAGCATGGCACGCGAGCGCCTAATTTCGGGATTTTTATTGAAATTTTTGTATGGCTAGACTAAGTCGCATCTGAAACGCATAAGAAAAATGCTCTTGAAATAAAATGGCAATATGGAAGATAATTTTTATGTTTAAATGATGCAATCAGGTGGATTCCGTTTGTTATTTAAAGTATTTAGATCAAACATTCTGTGACATATTAGGTTAAATTGCTCGCATCAGATGTTAATTTGTTCGCAAGACATCATGCGATATTATCAAGATCAAAGTTGCACTCAAGACGGTGTAAGGCGTAAGTATTCTAGACAACTTATCTATTTTTAGTACCACAACTTTCCTTAAGTCACTGACTAATCCGGCGCCAATATATTCACGATACACTAGCATAGACCTCGCAAATCTACAAAAGTGACGTGCCGTTTGTAAGGTGATAAATTAATAAGACTAACCATGAAGTTGTGCGACGATACAATGTATGAAAATGTATTATGAAAAAATAAACCAGTTTAATTTGTGCATACTCGAAATATTTTCGAAGAGGCTGGCGGTCGATGGCCGCACGGTTTGATTTTGCTTAGCTTTATAAAGTAGATAAAGTGCGACTGACAATAATTATTATTATCAATGCGTTGCACACAGCTTATCACAAACATAGGACACACTCTTGTGTAATAATATCGAATCGGTGCTTTTATTATAATAGAATATTTTTATCTATTATAAATACCAATCTATACAGTAATATGTATAAATAATTGACAGAGATAATAAAAGCATCATTCCTTTATTGAAATGAATAGTTTTAATAATTTTAACCTATTTATGTATTATTTAATATTGGATAAAACATTAACAGTAACTTTATTTGTGTATAAACAACCGCCTACATATATTATATATGAAGTACGAAAAAAATAATAATTAGGTCAAGAATTTATAAGGATGCAGACGAAAAGCAAGAGTTTACGCGTCCAACTTCATTTAATACTTTTTGTCTCTAGGGAATGCGAGTTGTCAGACTTTAGTCTGGTCTGTAACACAGTGCGGGGGGCCACTCGCCTTTTGTTTTTATACCCATGCAAGAATGCAAAACAATTATAATTCCCTCAGGGATAGGTCGCTTCAGAATCAAGCTCACGTAATCACAAGGGGTTCTCGTTTCTTCACTATCTTTTACATCTCATTCGGATTGCGGTTTGGCAGAGCTTAATTGGACTAAAAAGATTATTACCACTCGTAGCTATACCGAGATGCCTAGCAGAACAGAACCAAATTCAATTAGTGATAGGTGTGGTTCTCTGACAGCCGAAAGAGCGTCACAATCAAAGATACCCACGCTGGCCAATCCATTTACCTTAATTACGACGAGATGGGGATAAATCGGCGTCCAGCCGTCCACGGCCGAGTTACGAGCGGACCGACTATAAAATAAATTATACCCACTTCGTTCGCCTCCACTCAGTTTTTTGTTGCCATCCACGATGAAAAAAGACAAAAGCAAAGCTCGAGAGGACGAAATACGAGCCAAAGACAAAGCTTAAATTTATCTACTGATAATATAGACGTAGGGCGGCGGGCCCGGCAGACGCGTTGCCGGGTGGCCGGCCAAATTATACAGGCGGGCATTCCTGCGGCCCGGCAAAAACATGATATATCGCTGCTTTGTGACGAAATATTTTAAATTTGGAGACCTGCCACACTCTAAATGGAATTCGATTTTAAATAATATTATCTTTAGCATTCTTTGTCAACCACTTCATAAACGAGATTTGAATGTATCGTAGGACGGCGTACAGTTAAGTCAAATATTTACCATAATTGTGTCCATGATTAATGTCAAAGATCCCATCGAAGTAGAATTCTAATGACCTCATGGTCTTGTAAATCTGTATTATTCAAATAATTATTATGACTACATTCACAAAGGACCTTTTGTAAGAGTATCATATAACTGGTAACAGTAGCAAGTGCTATGATTTGTATATATTGCTAATATTTACGAGGCATTTTTGTTAGGTGTGCTAGGCCGTTATAACATTACTACGAATTCCAAACTCATTTATTATATAGGTAGATTACACATCCTCTTGTGTGTGTGTGTGTGTATTTTATTAATTGAAGGAAGTTACTTTATTTCTATTACAATGTGGCATATACTAGAAGTAACGTATTTTTAAACCACAAAGTACGCAAATGTGTCATTGTAATGGTGAAAAATAATACATGAAGATAAATTTAATATTTTATTATATCATTATCGTTTCAATAAAATAATAATAATTACAAGAATATGTATATACAAGTTGATTATGTACAATTTTCGAGGCCACGACTATATATACACTGGGTCCACGATATATCACTAGGTCCACACTGGGCTCAGCCTTCGTCATCGGCAGCCGCACCCTACCACCATCATGTCTTGATAGTTTTTAAGCACCACATTGTTCACTTCGTCCATATACAACATAGATATAGAGGAAAGTTGCGTCGGCACACAACACGCTTTCGGCACCGCGGCCGGATTCACTGAGTTCACTAAAGTCTGCACAATCGCATGGTTAGTACCATTGAGGTGATCCGCTAATGGGAAGGGGCAGTCGCCCTGGCAATAGTAGGCTTCGTAGCCCTGGGGGGCGACAATCCAGTCACTCCAACCCACATCCGCGAAGTCCACGAACAGAGGGCGCCGCTGGCAGATCTCCCGCGCCTCCTTGCGCCTGTGGTGAGGCCGGTGGCCCTTGCGCTGCGTCGCTCTCTTATTTCTAGTCAGCGACGTCTCTCCACGCTCCCGAGCCGTTCTGGCTCTCGCGTCCTCCGTGTAAAGCATCAGCAGAGGCTGGATAGCGCTCCATTCCTCGTGCTCGTCTGTGGCGCGCCGTCGGACGCGAATATGTGGAAATTTTATACTTTCATTACCTACGGTCTCGTCTATGACGCGCACTAATAGGCCATGATTATGTAGCGGTTCCTTGAGCCACCTTCTCGCCGCGCTGAGGGCGTCCGCCGCGACCGAGCCTTGGCCGGGTCGTAGCGGAATTGAATCGAGGAGTCTCAAAATGGGTTCGCTCTTTCCTCGTCTGCCCGGGCGGACCACATCGTAGAGCAGCAGCCTCTGCGTGCCGACGACACCGACGGCGCGTTGAAAGGTGACATCCGCGCCGCGAGCGACCTCGTCGCCGGGTACGCCACTTATGTTGAAATATAGGCGAAAGCGATGCTCCTGAGGGAAGCGGTCGTCGAGGTCCGTAGCGGTGTGGTAGAAAGAGCGCACCGTGTTGGCGGCGGCGGCAGGAAGCGCGCCTCGCATATCATACAAGATGCGCATAGCTTGCGGCACTGGTGTCGGCGGGCGGGAACGGGGCGAAGGGCGCCGGGGCAGCCCCAGCAGTGCCAGCAGCTGCCGCTCGGCGGCGGCAAGGCTCTCCTCGTCCGGCCCGCCGGCCGCACACAGCGCCACCAACGCGCACACCACCGCGCATGCGCACGCCCCACGCATAATTCTCCTCGACCCACCTGGGAACAAACAAACGCTACATTAATTCATTGAACTTAAATATCCATTCACCATTTTCCTTTAAGATAATTTTTAAATTTCGAAATTGTAATTGAAAATAAATAAAATGTATCAATGATGAATGTATTCAATACTTAGAAACCATTCAATATACAAATTAGCTTGCTTCATTTACTGAACTCAAATTCCCTTACATCGAAATTCTTTTTTACAATTCCGAAATATGAATTTCCAAGAGACATGAATAATAATTCAAACAGTACTACTAGTTAATCAACAAAGGTTAACATTGTGCGCAACCGGTAGTCATTTTATCTCAATATTTCTAACAAGTGCACCGACACTATGTGTATAATACTATCTCTTATGTAATAAGTTTACACTGACGATAAAATAAGCATAGATAATTTCATCGAAAAACAGACTATAAATTTAGTTATAGGTAAATGTAATTCTTAAATATCAAAATATGTACATTCTAATAATTCCATAACAATATTTAAATGAAAAATATAAATTATATAAGAAAAAATGTAAGCGAATAATATACAAAGTTTACGCAATGCTTCGAGATGAAACACTATAATGCCAAATGCGTTTATCTGTAATCGATAAAAATACAATGCAATCTGTATTCTACATCCATACAAGTGAGGGAACTGGGACAGACCATGTAAGGCCTTGTAACACCATTCGCGTGTGCCATTAATTAATTATCTAACAATTGACGCAAGTTATACAAGACTATGAAGGAACGCGACGTTTGTGTACGAATTAATTTTTGACAGATGACATAATGACAGTTAGAAATTAGAATTAAAAATAAGTGCTTTGATTTCGTTCTTCGGCGCTACCAAATTGTTTTAAACTCTGAACTCTTTCTATTTTAGTAAATATAGTAAATTTGTACTCATAGGATTAGGCTCATATTAAATTTACATTCTAACAAAAAATATCTCATCTATAAGTATTATGAGTTTCTGTTTAAAATCTCTTAGAATTCATTAATTTCGAATAATATATTGTGTTTTCTAAGCTTACACATATTATATATGTATATATAAGAAATCTAATCTCTAAATAATAATTATTTAAATCAAAATTATGTTATGTATTTTGAAATTAATTATGTATCAAATGGTATTTTATAAAATAACTACGAGTTTTGTTTACATGACATCAATATGTTTAGTAAATGGTATCTAAAACGATACATTATACAAGGTTGCAGTTATAAAATACGACCATCTTAATGTTCCTATTTAGACCTTAATTTTGTTGTCACATTTTATATTATGTTTTGCATTTATATGAACAAATTAAAATAAATTACAATAAATCTAAACTATAAGCCGATTTTAAGATTTTTTATCACCAAATACAGCATAATATTTTAATTACGATGCGTCAAATAATAAAAAGCCCGGATCACTTTCGAAAAGCGTTACCTAAGTAAAAGACATCAACGAGATATCTTGGCTACGGTTGTGCTACGATAACCATCGCTGATAATTAATACAAATTCGGTCACAGATTAAAATACTTGAGTCAACATAAACCTCATACACACGACCATTCTATATAATCGTTTACGGCACATAAAATCGAGAGAAAAGCGTTATCAAAGTAGGCATAGAAGTTTATCAAGATGGTATTCAATTAAGTGTTATTCTTCGAGAGAAATCAAGTATTAAACTACGGTTCTGCAAATGTGTATATTTTGTTATTATGTTTTGATCTCTGGTACGGACCGGATCATGGCGTACGTATTTCGAAAATAATGCGGTCAAACCGGCCGCTAGCGCGGTCGCTCTCACACTCACCCGAAATTTTAACGCATCCAACGTTGATAGTTACACAAACGATATCGCGGGTGGTCAATTGTCAACGCTTCGGGAATAAATGTCGCACTCGTTCACAATGGAACAAACACATAACAGCTGAGCGAACGGGTAACATAACTGGCGCGTGTTTGCGCGCGGGAAGCGCAGTACGCTCGTGCGTGTGCGTGCGTGGCGGAACTCGCGGGACCTGCGGACATTACGTGCTCACGGCGCCGAGATCGCGGCGGGAGTGATCGCGCCGCTCCAGACGCGGCGTCGCCGAGCGGCCCGACCCAGGCCCCGCCCCGCAAGCCCCGACCCCCGACCCCCGCGACCAACGCACCCCACACACCACCAAGGATCCAGGCCAACCACAAACGACACCCATTGTGCCAACCCAGCAATGGGGATAGAGCACTACGCGTTATATATTTGCTTTTTGGGACAGGTATGATGCAAGCTATGGGAAAGTTATGAAATTACATAGAGACAGCCCTTAATTCTACAATCTTACCATCTACATAAGGTTAAAATTTAGTAACATCCTAGAAGTACAACACAGTATGCGAATTATTTGTCATGAGTAAACGTATAAAACAAATTTTACTCACACCATTAACATTATTAAAGGATTAAACTTCAAGCCCAATAAGTCAATTATGCGTTTACAATATGAATAGAAGTCAAAAGAATGGATTCGCTAAAATGCATTTTTTGGAATGTTCTTGGAATGCGCAAGTTCTAAAAGACCTTAATGAGATAATTTTTCCCACAGATATTTTGAGTTAATAAAACAATGAGAGTTCCCAATCCTTAATGTGATGAGCTTTAAATCTAATATTTGAAATGTTTTATGACGCCTAACGCATTAAAATATTAGAATTGTTTCTTTTGAATGGATTTTATCGTTTAACAAAAAGCCTAGGTTTTTTTGTACGAGTATTATACAAAACCTAATTTTGGCTTAAGAATTTTTCATGACTAACTTTAGTAGAGATTAAATTTAACATCCAGTGTTTTATTTCTTAAAAATACGATTAAAAATAAAGTAATTCTTTATATCTATACTTTTATTTTTATAATTTATGTTTCTTGTTGTTAAAAAATATATTTTTAAATTATAATATGAATAATTAAATAGAAATAACAGAATTTACGGAGCTCTCCCATTTTATTTATTCATATTTACGATAAGGCAATTTTTCTGTCATAATTTAATAATGATAAATTGTCTAGAAAACGTTTATATTTTTGGTAATTATTTAAAAAAATCAGTAGACTTAAACAAGAGCGTACCTAATTGGTAATTAACTATGTTATATTAATCGAATTTGATTTTTATAGTCTTTTTCTATTACTTAAATATAACATTTTGGGCCACAGAGACCGAAGAGCACTATGGAAGATAAGATTTCCATAGTTTAAATTTGTAGAACCTGAAATTGATTTACGAATTTGGGACTGCTATTCCGATTTGACCTAAATATAAAGTTACTAAAATTATTGAAAATTAACAGCTATTTTTATTATAAGAGCAATAGTTTTCACACCTTATTCTCATTATATCTGTTTTAAATAAATAAAACATTTAATTTAAAACTACAAAAATTAAAAAAACAACATAAAATCTTAAAATCTCACCTTAATTAAAAAAAATCCTCAAAAATTCCAAATTTAAATCACAAATACACAATCGCACTTGTCGCTTAAATTGCCGATAATTTAAGAAGTGGTCAAAATCACTGAACGGTGTTTAATAAATGGTGATTACTACTGATGGCTAGGCGGCTTCATCCAGGCCTGTGGTGGGGGTAGGGTGACGAACACAGAGCGAGACAGTGCCATTTAACATTTTAATATCATAAATATTTATCACGGCTCGTCACCTCTACGTCGTAGACAATTTGGGAGAGATGCGTAGCCTACGCTAAAAATATTGATATCGCTGTGACCTTTATAACATTTTACATAATATAAATTACAAGTTTTATTTTATGAGCTAACATTTCGCCTCGATACTCTTATAACTTTTATATCCAATAAAGTTTTATTGAAACTAGATACAATAATTTTCTGTACGATTGATTGACATTCTGTGACCCAACCATAAACAAATTATAAAATTTTCACATATTCGCGTCCCAGTATAACTAGACACAATTACTTTGACAATTACTAAAACATTTTCAGAATTTTGTAAAATTGTATAACTACTGAAAAACTTATTTAATGGTAACAAAATATAATAATTAAAAATTTAAGTTTCAAGGATAGAATCTTTAGTACCCTAAATACGAAATAAACCCGTAAATTATTTTTGTCATATACAGTTATAAATAAAACTTTTATCATATTAATAATAGCTTAAGGAAACCAAATTAAAAATATATAAAATAATAGTGGCGCTACAACCTCTTTTAGGTCTGGGCCTCAAATTTCTGAATCTGTTTCATGATCATTATTCAATCTAATTGGCAAGTAGGTGATCACCCTCCTGTGCATGTTATACGCCGTCGACTTTTTGGGTCTGAGACATGTCGGTTTCCTCACGATGTTTTCCTTCACCATTCGAGCGAATGCTAAATGTAAGAAAGTCATAGTAAGAAAGTCCATTGGTGCACTACCGGGGATGGAACCTGCGACCTCAGGGATGAGAGTCACACGCTGAAGCCACTAGGCCGACACTGCTCTACCTCTCTAAGGAAACCAAATTAAAACCTCGTTAATGTTTATGTAATTAGTGTTTGGTTTTTTCACCAAAGCATTACTCATGCGATAAGCTAAATTTTTAACAAAGAAACAAATTTTATCATAATTATGTGTTTCCTTTAAATTTAATACCTTTGTGTTAATCTTTTTCACGTTCGTTAAAGTTAACCGTTGTTTTTAACTCGGTTTCCTGGGTGGTATCTGATAAAAATGAATAGAAAGTAAATATTGTGAAGAAAAATGCATGTCTCGGCCATGACTGTCGCTCTGACAATGAAGACAGGTGCTGTGATTATTATAAAACTTCACGCACCTGAAGAAATTTGCTATCAATGGAGTTAATGATGAAAACTTTTTATCGAGTTTATGTTATATTATCAATCGTGTATCATTTAATTTGAGCAAATTAATTTAATATTAACCAAGCACTTCGTTACTTCAAACATATCAATCGACAGTTTTTGATTGTCCTTAAAAATTATAAAAACTATTAAGATAATTTTTTTAGTAATTTTACTCAAATGTTATTATCTTATGCTACAATTATCTACGTTCAGTTAACGAAAGAAGCTAGCGAAAAATATATTATTAAAACTTTTATATGACTAATCAATGTAATCACCCTTAATTCATAAGCGTACTATAATATTCCAATAAAATATCCCTATCATGCACGTGTTTATTTGCAAGTAAACGTGACAAAATATTGATAATTGTCTGCTATACAATGAAATCCGTTAATATCAAGTGACACAAATATGCGAAATAGTTTCATATGATTTATTTTTAAACCGCTTTGGTGTTTTGTGTCCTTGAGCTGATAAAGAAAATTAATTTAAAGCGACTGATATTGCGGTACATGAAAAAGTTAAACTTTAAACTACTAGGAATCTGTTGAGGAAGCCATTTCAAAAATACACATTGAAACTATTTACGTAACTCAGTCATGTATCGTAAACCTACGGATTATTACACAAATTACCAGCAAATAGATATATTTAATGTAACTAAAAAAGGTTTAAAAAATAATTTTAAAATCTCTGGTATCTTTTACTAATAATGGTTTTGTTATTCTTCCTTTATATTAAATATATATTATAATGGACAATGAATCTTAGAACTTAGAATTTAATATAAATGCATATATTCTTTGTTTATTTTTTGTATTTTTTTGTATTTGTATAGGTGAAACTGTGCTTTGTTTATGTTTAAATGTGTATTCCGTTTTTGGCTTTTGTGTACAGTGTAATTGTTTGAATATTGTTTATTAAGTAGCTGTAGGATTACCGTTGAGCAAATAAATAAATAAGAGCTACTGAAATTGTACCTGTACATATTTTAAATCGTAATTCGGTATTTAGCTCGGAACAATTGTTTATTTTAACACAACATACAAAAAACACAATACATGCATGTGCATAAATGACAAGTGTGTGTGTATTTTAAGGAAAACATTACTATTATGAAACAGAAATGATAATAATAATACAATAAATAAATGATAATAAACTTGATTAAGAAATACAAATATTAAATCAATTATAATACTCAATATTCCACTTTAACCATTCATCTGTGGATAAGTTTATATAGCGTCGATGTAACATATCATTGATGTTACAAATCTTATCACATACACACGTTAGGATTGCTGTTGTGCTTTGAAATTATTTCCACTTAGATCTAAAGAGATCTTGGCGAGAATCTGTTAGGTTAGGTTAGAAAGTACCTTTAGAAGGTTTTGAACTCTGAAGAATTAGCTACTAGCTCTGAAGCCTATGATGGATGCTTTTTAATAAATAAATTCATGTTATATTTAATTAAATTATGTCTTATTATTCTTGGTAGATATATAGGAATTTTCCTGACCACGATTTGCTGTTACCAACATTTGCGTTTCTATACATTACATAATTATATATGTTATATTAATTTTTTTTTACTAATTAAACCAGCTCTTTCTCCTCTTCTTATCCTAACAAATAGTGTGACAAATTAATAGTACTGTTGTTTGATATCTCTTAAATAAAGGCATGTGTCAAATTTTAAATTGCTTGTATTTATTCGTTGTAAAATTGCATCCATTAAATTGAAATTACTGTGATTGCTTATCGTTATGAGCCAGCTACCGGAGCCGTTACGCGAAAACACCGAACTGTTCTTGTTTTTTTATTATTTTTTTGGCGCGAGTCTCTCGCGACCCGTTACACGCTCGCAGCGAAAGTTAGATTCGAATACGGCGCACAACGCCATCTACGCGCAGAAAAACGCAAATCCTCAATTACATCTAAATTCACTAACCTACTAAGCGGGAAAAGTAGAAATCATGTCAATTTGCACCTGCGTAAAGACAAATATTGTGTTGAACAGTCCAACAAACATGGCATTGGAGCCATGCGGTCTGCCAGCCACCCACGACCGCTGCGTCCTGCGTTACTCACCAATTCACATGTCATGAACGTAATTAGCCCATTAGCACGCACGCACCACTCAAATGCTCAATTAGATCAACGACCGTCGGGAATAGCTGAGAAGATTACGTCCCCTCGCCTTCAGCGCGGGATAAAATGTAATATAATTGATACTTATTTCACCTCTCTAGTACGGCATAGGAACAACCTGTCCGAGATCTGTGGCACACTTATGTCTATCTTGCTCGCATACGTCATTCTAAGAAAACTTCAACAGCTGTTGCCTACATGTTGCTAAATCTACCTCAAATTACACACGGAAGTATATTGGATCTGATTTAATACCTGTATCTAACGTATTATTTTTTGTCAATTCACACTTCTATAGACAAAAAATTAACTTCGTATGCGAACTATGTCCTGTTACAAGGACCGATCTATGGTTTTCTGTATTTTATTTAAATCCATGTATCGAATAAAGTACAAATCTCTATAAAAACGTATGTTACTCACACATTTTTTGTCCAATTAACTACGGTAGGTACAGATTAATTGTATTCATGACCTAATTTAAACTATGGATACACATATTGGTCACACTTTCAAATGCCATATAAGATGAGACCTTCTTAGTATTATAATAATAACCCCAAATATCGTTTAGGCATAAAGTTTCGAAGATTCAGTTTCACCTCCCTGTAAAAGTATGTTTTATAAAAGAAATAATAAATTCTATGTCCTTCGTACAAAGCTCACTTCCCTTTGCGTAATGCTGCCTGCATATGAAGGTTCCAATTGCATTGGTAGAAGTCTATAAACGCAATATAATAATGATAGTCTTCGACGTATCAAATTGAAGGTCATTTTTGCATTCCGGAAGATATTCCAGTTAACATTTGAATAAATTATTCAATTATCCTAAGAATTGTTAGAACATGGGGTTTTTTAAAAGCTCCAGACTGCCTGTCAAGTGTAGTCAGTAAAACAGAGAGATGACAGGGAGGAAGGAAACAGTAACAGCTATAATTTGTTAGATTTAAAGCTTCTTTTATTATTATATGTATTTAACACTTCGTTATATATATATATACTAACAGACGGAAGGCAACTTATCTTTGTCTTGGAGCGAAAAAAATGTATTTTCCCTGTAATAGAAAACTCTCCCTTTGAAAGTTCCTTCGAAATGTATCAGTTCAGGCAAAAACCATTTTTAGCAATAGTGGAGTGTGGTACCTAGTACCTCAAACATACAAATCTTTGATATGGATCACATTTACTAACATTTTTGACCACCTAAGGTGCTTTTCATATAGACATGGACTACAAACGTGTATTATGTTCTAACCTTTAATTGGTTTAATGAATCCTATCAATTACACTTCATCTTGTTAGTACTGGAGAATATTTTTCGCTTTACATAAAGATTCAGTGCGAGCTATTTTGTTTCTTAATACAATTTAACCTCACGACACCAATTTTGAAAAAGGCATCTTTGTTTTTTATTTATATATTTGCACGGCAAATGACTCTTTATGAATCCGATTAAAACAGACAAAACTATTAATGTAATCATCATAAGTTATATATGTTTATTGTCTCTGGTTCTTTAATTTATTTACGCCAAAAATAATCTGTAGTTTTTCACAGACCATTCCTGTTAAAAACCAATTAATTTGGTATAAATCTATTCGTTTTATTGATACTATTTAGCCGTAGAACGTGTTTTGTTTGTGACGAACGCACTTATTTCACAAACTAGTTCGAATTGAATTATTTGTGTCGGATAGTCCAAAGAAAGACTTGAAGAGTATACTTGGATGTAGGGAAAAGGTGTCCAGTATCCGGAAATTTAAAATTTCGTGTAGAACCTTACAATCAGGAAATCTACGAATACATGTGTTTTGTGAATGTGTACGAATGTATTATATTAGAGTCGATAACAGCTTAACAATTCAGGGACAATTTAAAATATACTGTATAGCCGAAACAACGATCAGCCTTGTAAAACTTGTTATGCTAAAACATATATCACCATCCCAATATAGTATTATATTCTTATCATTGTCATACTTAAGAAATGAAGAGACTATAAAACACGTTACAAACATTCAAAAGTCGCAAATGCGCAGCTTTTTAAGTCTAAGTATTTTGAGGCGAAACAAGTTTTCATATAAAAATTTTGATTTTCAAATTGTCCTTATTAATTCTGCGCCCATTGCGACCTCTTTGGCTTCTTTCCAGAGACACTTGATCTGCCTACAACGCTGCTTTCTAATTATGTAACGGGTAAACGAAATCGTACTTAACAGTTTTAATTGTGAAACGCAGCACGAGACTTAATAATTTATTTAAATGATGTAGTCGTATCGAACGGTGGCTCGAGTCTATATAAGACCGGTTCACACATAGACACAAACACACACACGAAAACGCTATTGCTACACTGACGACCTGAGATCTCATGGAAATGTCTTGGCAAGACAGTATGATTTTACTTTAGGTGATAATGGAACAATTTTTGTAAGATCAAAATACCAAACTAGCTTAGTTATTGAACATCCCGTAAACTTTGCTGTCTATTTAGACACGTGACTTTATCGGCCTTAAACCTGGACTCTTGTGAAGTTGAGAAGACATTAAGAGTTAGTAATGTTAACAAATACGGCACTGCACTTTATAATATGGCCTATATAGATAATAAGATTTAGGAGAGAAAAAAGATCTAATGTAGAATAAAAATATCTGGCTGAATATAAATTTTAATAGATGGTTGCTAATCTGTTATTTAACTAAGTAAGCAGCCGATGTCAATTGACAACAAGATAAAGTCCTAATTGAATAAGATTTATATATCTTAATATATATAAATTACGTGTCACGTTGTTTGTCCGCTATGGACTCTACTATTTAATCTTTTTCAATCAAATTTGCATACCGTGTGCAGTTTGAACTAACTTAAAAGATAGGATAGCTTACATCTCAATTTATACTCGCAATATTATTTTATTGCAAAATATTTGTCACAATTCTAACAGATGGCTAACCAACGTTTCACATAAGCTACAATTGAATGGCATAGCCACCAAAAAAGCATGGTGATCCCCATGACTGTTGTTTTCCTGCCGTTTCCTTTGAATAAATTACTACTATGTAATATAACAAAAACCTTAGCCACAGCAACGCTTGGCTGAGTCTGCTAGTACATAATTATATATATTACAGACTTATTCTTTACATATAAAATGGAGTTTCCCGGCCGCGAAACTACTTAGTTGTCACCAATAGGGTAATTGCTTGACGGTTTAGGTGTCTAAGGGTCTGTTTCACAATGTATGGATAAAATACCGAATAGCTATGCAACACATAAATTATTTGGAAGATAAATTGTGCTGTTTGACATTCATCGGACTCATAACTTATGATGGACTTTATGTGACGAATAGCGCTATCTGACAGTCGTGAAACGCAATAATAGTGTTTGTCCTACCAATAAGTAATTTATTTATTTATTTATTTATTTATTTTGTAAACCTACAGCTAACATAAATTATATACAATAACAAACAGTTACATTAAAAATATAGCCAAATATGGGATACATAATAATACATTTAACTACAAAATGGTTCAAGAATTTATAAAAGGAAACAAACAAATAAAAACTATTCAATACGTTTATCTAAGTGGTACCTAATTTGGCTGTGTTGTGTGATGGTGTAAAAGTGAGGGTAAGTACGTGAAGGTGTGTATGTGGGGTATGCTCATGATGCAGGTGATTTTGCGCTATGGATATTCTTAATACTTCTTTTAATCATATTCCGCGACAGCTTAAACAGGTCAAGGCTTAAATATTGGTCGTTGTATGTCCGGGCTGCGCGATACAAAACTGAGTTCCTTGCATAGTTAGTGTTAATGTGAGGAACATGGAACAAAGCACGATTACGAGTCTGGTAGGCAAATAAATAACTAATTTGGAACTTATGTAGAACTTTACCGTACATTGTGAAACAGACCCTAAGTAATGTAAATTGCCTGAAATACAACTATAATTTTAGAAGTTGCCAAAATACACGTAACCCACGCGAACGAAACTTTGGTTAGTCACATGTATTTTCCTGATGCTAGGCGTTTATTACTTTGTTACGAGAATTTGTTTCAATATGTCCTTACAATTGATTTCTAAACCAAAAACTTGGCGATTAAAAAGAGTGGAATCACTTGCCAGTTCTTCTCACACTCTCTACGCCCTTAATTTGAGAAATGGTAGTAAATCTTCCTTTTTTAATATTGACTTTCATATAGGTACATAGTTATAAAAAGAAATGAATAAATTATTTTGATTAAAAATAACTACATAAAGTTTTTATTTTAAAATAACAGAATTAAAATGAGTATCTAACACCGTTTGTAAACCGTTGTAGTTACAATCCATTCAAAGTTTCGAAGAAATGATTTAAAAACTAATTTCGAATCCGACGGAATCATACGATCTCTTTCTCTCCAAGTGCTATTGTCAAAGATATATAAAATTTGAGAGCCTTAAAACTGCCTGAATATCCACCTGTAGTCCCATGTTGATACTTTGTTAATTCTTAGTAGCTAATGAGGCACCTAACATTCTCTAACCTCATAGAATTGTCCATCAAGGTAACATTTTGTGAACATGAAGTTGTTTTGTGTTTATAAAGGGGAGGGTTCTTAGACTAAAACAAATGAATAAAGCATTACGCGAGTCTACTCTATCCGAGTCGTGATTCTTTCATTTCGTTTAGCAGAGGACTGTGTACGAAATGATCTTCAAAAAGCCATATGCCACTAATACTTAACTTAAAGAACCAAGATAAGCAATTCTTTTGCCTACAATATAAGGGGCGAGGCCTAACCATCGAACCGTAAATATGGCTTAGTATGCTCCAGTGATCTCCAATCACTTAGGTTTTCCAAATGTAGGTATATTGCTTAGCTAACTGAAGGCACAAGACAAAAATAACCTATTTATCATAGACATTTGGAAATATACAGAATTCTAAGTCATGTTACAAAAATTACTAAACTTCGACAAAATTTTCCAGTGGATGTTCAGCTAAGCTTTCCGTTGGAAGATTTATTTTAAAAACTTATAGTCTGTAGTTTATGGTAAATTAGCAGGTGTTGGTGGTAAATGTCGTAGTAAAGTAATAAAACTGGCTTTTAATACAGCAACTAATCAAAACTCTTCCAACTCCGTTGAACTACGCCTTCTCCAAGCGAAATTTTAATATTAATTAATTGTTAAGTTAATTTAATTATTACTTTGCTGTAGGCATTAATTATTTGGTAATAAGTAAAATTTAACGAAACAAAATGTTTATACTTAAAAATTTAATAATTTTTAACATCATCAAAAGGATCATTAAGAACTTCATTTTACTCCTCATTTATATCTACTGAATTTATTATAAAGTTCTTACTTCGCGTATAAAATATTATATAAAACTTATTATGTATGAGAATTAGAGCTAGAATATTCGAAATTTCGAGTCACGTGAATATAGATAATGAGTTTGTTTTCCCTCGCGTTAAGTTGTTTTATAGAGGCACGGTTTTCACAAGACATTAATTGAAATGCAAAAACGACCAATACAGCGTAGAACAGGCTTTAATTTATCCAAGCAAGCTTAGTTGGCTGCCTCTAACTTCGACGCGTATTACTGCTACACGCCAGATACCTATAGAAGTACATGTGCAAAAATTGTTGCGTTTGTTTGAATACCTTAGAAATTTCTAATCACATTGAGAATAACAATAGGTAGTTTTGAACGTATGTCGGTTTAAAGTATACTCGATATTTAGCAGTATTGAACAGTAAATTAGCAGTACATATTATTATGTATTCTCAACATATCCGGTATGGTAATATGAGGCTTGTCATTAATATCTAATTGGTACGTACGTATCAGAGATAAACAAGTAAAATCTAATTCAAACAGGTTATGGTTAAGAGGAAATGATAAAGATCAGTGCATTTCTGCAATGTGGCCGTCAAGAGAGTGCAACGTACTTAGTTGATCCTAGGTGCATTGAATAGGGTGAGTAAAAAACGTACGTGGATCATCGCACGTCGTGCAGAAGGTGAGCGCGCTGGGGCGGCGAGGGCGCGGGCGCCTGCGCTGGCACACCAGATGAACCACGGGCGCTGATCGAAAGTTCGACGCGAGATCGAGCGCGCATATGTAAATATCGGCACATTTACAAGCGAAAGGGTTCACCAGAGCGGCGCACTAACGCAGCATTGCGCGGGAACCAGTCCGGTGAGATTCCTTCGATGTCCGATAGAAAAATGTCGAATAAGCTTCAAGACATCACAAGTCGCGTGTGTCTGGCACGTAACGCGGTCGCCACTCGACTGCCGCCCTCCTCTTGCGGACACTGTGTTGGTATATTTATCGCTTAATTATTTAACTCGTCTGTGTCAATTATGAAGCAGCTTCGTGAGTGGAAGGCGCAGCACACTCGCAAGTCGCGTAGGGCGTACGGCGCTACCGCGTCTGCGTTCAATTGTTGCGTCACGCTCCGAACTGCCATCACACGCGCAGCCTTCAGATTTTATCTTAACCAATTCTATTCTCACCTATTATTTATTTCAAAACATTAACCTCCAAACGAACATAACGTTTAGTTATCTTCCTGTCCTTATATTTCCGCAACAAAAACACACCTACGTACACGATTAGTATTTTTTATTTATATAAATAAGTGCCTACTAACAGCTATGTCGATCGATATTGCAGAGAACTTAGAATCTAAAATTAATATTTTATAAGTACATATATTAGTTTCTTTTTCATTTCTATAATTAGATTACGTCAAACGTCCTTTAATTAGGTTTGTCAGCACATTTCTGCAAACATTTAAAACGAAAGAAATTTTTTTACCAAATTCAGAATTAAGTGGACTTAAAGCTATCTTATCGATGTTATGAAATTTTGGGATTGCAAATTTGATTGTTGATATATTTCTTGAATTTTTAGCGTAGAATGGAACACCATTGACTTTTATAGATAATGACAGTAACTGACTAAACACTAACGTGATGTCTGCTGTTTACTGTCATGTGCCATCTATCAGTGTCAGTTGTTTGCTACCAAATATCGACAGCCCAGCTGAGAAGGCACTAGGTAGACCTTTTTTTCGATTGTAATGTCTATCTATAAGAAAAAAACATGTATTTTCATAATGATTAGCGCGCAATAATTTATATAAATTTTAAAACATAAAATTAGGATAATTTAAACTTAGTGACTCAAAATGTTTTGCCGGTTACGATTAAGGTAAGCAAGCTTGAGCTAAAAGTATTAACGGGACCGATCATACCAAAACTCAGATATTCACTCTGTAATGTGTTTCAGTAGTTGTGGATGTCCGATTGGAGTGTTCCACAGAAAATTAAGCTCAGCAGAAGTTTCGACAGCCTTGAGACCGTTCTATTTTCGGGTTCATCCTGATTTGTTCGGAAAGTATCCAGAACAAAGGGTAAGTAATAAATACTTTACAAATAATTTCCCTATTAAAAAATATATATTTTTGTTGTTTGTTGCAGAAAATTAATGAAATATCTTTACAACAGCTTAGTGCACTATTGGAAGCTCAGCAGTCCAGTCGAAATATAGCAACACCAATATTGCCTTTTTATTTAAGAAAAAATGATATGCCGGATGGTAAACTTACTTTGGGATTATATTTATTGGCAAATGTAACTTTTTATAATAAATATACTTTTCTGTATACAGGTCAATTTGAATTAGTAAAAATTAAGTTGGATAGTAATGATTTAAGAGAAACTGTTGTAAAAGTTTTAAATGCCTGTGATATTTCTACTAGTTACATTGACAAAATACCAAGAATGAAACAAGATAAGGGGAGACTGGTCAGGTAATTTGAGATTGTTTTGTACTATAACTTATTGAAATATATTATTATTATTTATTTGAAATAATTATGAAACCAAAATTTTTCAGAGAAGAATTTAATGAAGCATATGAAAAGTATAAGGATGAGTTTGATAAGGCAACCAGAATGAAAAGGAAAGTTGATGAAAAGAAAGCTATAACTAATGTAATGTAAGTATTGATTGTACAAACCAATTAATTTACAATAGTAGTTACCACAATCATAATATTCACAATAAATATAACATACATGCATAATAAAAGGCTCATAAGCCTTACGCAAATTTATATGATAGATATATTGGAAATATATAAAAAAAGTTCTTCTGAAGACATGATATTTTAAAGCAGATAGACTAGGCTTTAAAAATATGGTACTCACTAAATTAACTGTGACATCTGGAGGTTTCTTTTCTCTTTAATTTCCCTTTCAGTGATTGGATTTCAGAAAACAGCCAGCAAGCCAAGGAAAAATATGAATCGACACAAGCAACAAGAGGCCAAGTCAAATCACTTATTGAGCAACTTTGCAAGACCTATGGTATAAAAGAAGTTGGTAAAGAATTTGTTGCTTTTTTTAGAAATTACAATCCTCATTGGTTAAAATATATTTTATTTGGTTCCATTAGGACAAAATCTATGTTCTACTTGCATATTTAAATTGGTCAAATTCATTCCAATGTTTTTATTATTTCTTAATATATACTTTAAAAATTAAAAGGAGAATAAGTATGGGTTTAAGCCAATGTGGTGCTCTGTGATCTGTTATTTAGATTAAGAACAATAAGTAATATTTCAGGTTAAGTATGACAGTGGGTGGAATATAAGCCATATTAGAGGGGCTTTGCAGAGTCTAACGTCTATGGCATCACAACATCCACAACACATGGATAACTTAAAAGGTATTATAACATGTCTTCAGATATTTTGTTGATGAAAATTTGATGAATTTGTTTTATTTTTATGGAAACTAATTTAACCCATTCTTACAGTTTTTACAAAAAGTCTAATAGTTAAAAAACATGTAACTATACCTTAAGCATGATATTTATATATGCAACTGTTGAATTATTCTTAAATTAATAACCATATGACACATTTAGCTTACATATGCTATGCATATCAAAATCTCTACATTTACAAAAATAATTCCAGTTAATAATTAATTAATAATTCAATTTTTTTAGATCGAACAATAGCTCTTGGGCAGTTTACTGGTGTAAGCTTGGATGGAGATGTATACCTTAATATAATTGACGTTAGGCATGAGTGGCTTTCTGTGAGTAAAGTTTTAAGCTATTTCACTTGTAATATCTTTTATTAACTTCACAAATAATGAGATTTACTTGATTAAATTACCATATTTAATTTTTAATTGAATTTAAAATTATACATTTATGTAATTATTGAAGCTCATTAAAAAAAGTCAGCCAAGAGGATAGTGCATTAACGGAGATACCTCAATATGAGAAGGCGCTGTCAAGTATTCTACGAAATATTCACATTTGTAGAAGGTAATGCCATAAATTAAAATATACTAAATAACTAATCATACAGTATTTGAACTAAATGTTCTAGAAAGCCCTAAAGACAAAAAAAATACCTATTTACATAAAGAACTTTATCTGTGAAGCAATTAAATATAATAATAAAATAATGATTAATTATTATTAAGTTTTGTCGCGTTTCCTTCTTGAATAACTAAAGTAACTGCATAATTCTTAAAGAAAGATACAGAAACTATGTTTCTAATAAATAGGGTGAAAAGGAACCTCCCTGAATTTAATTAAAAAATGATTTTGGATTGCTAACAAAGTATTGTATTTTTATAACCAAAAGAAAATATAAATTTTAACGTAATATAATTATTGTTTTAGAAAGTTTATGCCGAAGGTATCGGCAGCTCAATATTGTAGTCATTTGCGACAATTAATAACATCTATTGGCGATTTTTATGGACGGGGAAGTAAAATTCCTGATACTGTGCCCGAATCATTACAAAAATATGAAATCGTTGTTGAACCGTAAGTGAACGCTAGTATTCAGAATTGTTACTTTTAGACGGCTGAGAATTACCTCTAACTTCAATAATATGCTTCCAATAATTACGTGGAAAGAAGGCTCTATACACTGTTATTTTTGTATTAGGTCACTTGAGTAAGAAAATATTTAAATTTACCTTTTTGTAGGTAAAACATAAAAAATACGTGGCATTTTTTTTATTGCCTAGAATATGTCAAACTTGTCCCTTTTTCGGTGGAGAACTTTTTTAGTAGTAACACTTATGAAATGTTAGAATTCTACGGAATTAAAAAAACAGAGTATAGATTACAATTAAATAATCAAAGACTGGAAAAGGAGTCATTATAGTCAATAAAGTTCAGTTTACATTTGAAAAATTAAATAAATAAATATTTATTATTATTCTCTTACATTAAGTGTAACATAAATTCTATTATTATTCGAATGTTCTTTTTAAATTATGTCCAACGCCGTAGCATCTTCCGTGGGCAACTTCATTCTGTTAATTTTGTGTCACGGTGCGCACGCATCGTAAAATTTCACTCTCATCAATTTTTCATAACGCGCCTAAAGAAGTATAACTTCAAAAAGCTTTGTTTTATAGGGAAGCGGGGCCTCTAATGGTGTCACCAACCGGTCAGTTTATAACGCCATCATCATGTCCAGCGGATGAATTGATTGCTTTCATAGCTAAACACCTTGACGACGCAATGCTCCTTTTGACTGAGTATAGCATGTAAGTGAACCTTAGTACATTTATCGATGAGCCATGTTTATTCGGAATAACTAGGTAGCTACGTGAAACTGATTTACTCTATTTTTGTATAGAAGAAGCAAAACTTATCGCTAAGTCTGAATTTCGTAGCGTCCCGGATTTTGACATACGGTTATTTTCATTATTTGCGCTATACTCGTATCCGAGACTGCCCCTTAAATCTCACACTCGTGAACGGGTGCTACTTGCGGTGACTGGTCGGACTTGAATTCGTTTATGCAGTGATGTTAGTTATTTCAACTATGTATTTGCGTGTTGTTTCCACAGGAGTGAAGGTGCGTGCTCCTATTTCACCATGACTCCTGCTGATCTTAGAAACCTTTGTTTTTAATTTATTTTATTATTATTAATTAACTATTAATTACTTAAGATGTCATGTGGAACATGGTGTAATGGTTGCAGCTCCTTACAAACATTGTGTAAACCAAAAAATTTGCCATCAAAAGAGTGGCGGAGAGTTGACGCACGTACGTACGTACGTACGCCCTTGATTTGAAAACCGGCAGTAAATGTATTGTTAGAAGCATTTAATATGTATTTCTTTTTTGACGTTCATAAGTGTACATTGTGTTACCTATATGAATAAATGATTTTGATTTGATTCTCAAAAGCGAGCGATCACTAAAAGTAATCAAATCATTAAACACGTTGCTCACGCGCAAGCATTTAAAGAGTTACGTCTAAAGTCCTACGTTCAAATCCATGTAAAATAATTCAACTTAGACCTTACAAAAATGTCGTTTCAGAAATAAACATGTTGAAAAAGCATTGTATAAGGAAGTAAAAGAACGATTCCAATTGTTAGACCTAATTAAAGATGACAGTATTACACCTGGGCTGATGATACTCTGCTGCCAAAGGCTTCTTACTCGGATTGACACCATAGACGAGGTAATTTTTTTATTAAATGTCCGCTAATTTCTTATCTTAATATATATAAATTACGCGTCACGTTGTTTGTCCGCTATGGACTCCTAAACTACTTAACCGATTTCAATCAAATTTGCACACCGTGTGCAGTTTGATCTAACTTAAAAGATAGGATAGCTTAGATCTCAATTATACCCGCAATATTATTCTATTGCAAATTATTTGTTTATTAATATTATATATACTGCTCAAAACAATTAGCGGAACAAGATTTTGCTCCTTTCTATTGCTTAAACTAAAATTAGATTTAAATTAACTTGTACGCTATTTTTTACCTTGTTAATTTGTTAATTACTACAATTAATAAAAAATTTTTTTTGTTTTTTTTTATAAAAAATTTTATTTGTGCATTGACGAAAATGGTGATAAAAAGGTCCATCAAAGAAATATTCTTATTCGTTTGAATATTGTCTTTAGTGACTTTCAGTAACTGTTGGCTCTAGCTGCTTGACACGGCGGATTTCGTTATCCTCAATATCTTCTTGTGGAATTCGCTCCCATTCTTCAATCAACGCTTCAGTGAGCTGCTGCAGTGTTTGAGGTGCAATCGGACGCTTCCGGATGCGCCTGTCAAGCAAGTCCCAAATGTGTTCACATTGGATTTAGGTCAGTGCTCATGGCAAGGCCACTCCATTACACGGATTTCCTGCTCGGTACGTAAGTAAGTCTGACGTATGGCTGCAGTATGCGGCCTGGCTTTCTTGCATTATTAAAGAAAATCTGGGCCCATACCATATGCTCGGCCAAACATGATCTTCGAGACATTTTCAATGTAAGTTTGAGCACACAACGCCCGGGAACAACGCGAGATCTGTGCGCTCGTCCAAACTACTCCGCCCCAAACCATCACAGAGCCACATCCAAATTTGTCATATTCCTGGACTGCTCTCACTGTATCGCTCGCCTGGGCGTCTGTAAACACGGAGATGACCATCGCAACGTGTTAGACGGAATCGTGATTCGTCATAAAAAGCACTGGCCTCATGTCGAAGTTCCAATTAGGTGATTTTGCGCGAACTGTCGGCGAGCTTGTCTATGTTGAATTGTTAGACGCACAGCCCAACTGGTCGGCGTGATCTCAAATTGGCTTCCAACAACTTATTTCTTACCGTCTGGTCGGAAATTTCTACACCAGTAGCCGTCCTTAGTGTATTTTGTAGATCTCTTGCAGTTGTGGTGCGGTTACGTAAAGCACAGTTGACATGTAGCGATCTTGCAAACGTGTAGTTTTTCTCTTTCGACCTTGACCACGCCTTCGTGAGTATTCTCCCGTGTCACGGTATCGCTTCCAAAGTCTGTAGATAACAGAAGGGGCTACTCCTAGATAATTTCCTACATAACGCATAGTTCGACCCACTTCAAGCAAAGCGATAGCTCGGGAGACATGCAATTCAGTCAGATCTGGCATTATGACCTAAACTCACTCGCTTCAATGAATAACAATACTCAAAAGGCTCACTTCAATTTCTATTAATACTCAAAAGATTGAAAAAAAACTACTTAAAATGTGTTTTCTGTGATTAGAAAGTAATGAAAATTCAAAGACGTCACTTTGTTTTTCGTCTACAATGCACATTTTAATTTTTTTTTTAATAAAAAAAATACAAATTGAATATTTTTATTAATTGTAGTATTTAACAAATTAACAAGGTAAAAAATAGCGTACAAGTTAATTTAAATCTAATTTTAGTTTAAGCAATAGACAGGAGAAAAATCTTGTTCCGCTAATTGTTTTCAGCAGTATATATGTATAGCAACTTCTTTGATACGTAAGTATTTCTTGAATATTTCATAATTGTTTGACTGCCTTCGTTTTAACATGTGTGATGTTTGAGAGCGCAAATAAAATAAAATTCAGTCTTTCATAAACCTTATTTGCAAAGTGACAAGGACAAAAAATAGATTCGATAATAATGAAAAATATATAGCCACATTAAAGTATTCCAATTAATAGCTGAGTTATATCATCGGTCGTCCATCGTTCCACAACAAAGTGTTTCTTAAGGGAGTTTTAGCCGCTCAGCACCACTATGTGGAACCAGCTCCCCACTGAAGTATTTCCAAACCAATTCGACATAAGCGTACCAGTTATTAAAAGACCGGCAACGCACTTGCGAGCCTTCTGCCAGTGTTAGTGACCATGCGGTATCACTTATCCGATGACCTGAGATGATTTATTAATATCATTTTTTTACTATTTAAACTAGATTTAAAATAATTTTTCATTGTTCCAGAAACTGCGAGGAAATATTCTGTATGTGACCCACTACTATTCTGTACTCTCCGAGGGAGTTTTATGTATACCATGGAATTTCAAGTGATAAATAATAATTAAATATTCATAAAATTGTGTTTAATTATAATACTATATACATAAATGTAAAATTCAATAACTAGTCAATTAGAACTATTAAAATGTGATGGAAAAATTTAGAGATCATAATAAAATTCAGGGTCATACCGTGAGTCGTTCATTAAATTATTTAATCCATTAAGTTTAATTATAATTTAAATAAGGAAGCTAAAATCTTAATCTTTAGCTAATTGGGCATTACATTTCATACATACATAATAATGAACGACTCTGAGTACGGCCGTTAGTCTTCCAAACACGATTTATAAATTGTCATGAGTATTATAAATATAATGAGTACTTAGTGCTTTTTTTGTTGGACAATGACGAGTTTATTCTTTTCCTTTGTGACCTTTGCCGCTGGCAAATGCGTCGCCGGCATCAATTGACGCAAGTTTTGACTGGGAATTACAGGGACCTGGAAATCAATTATTATTTAAACTTTTTGCGGGATTAGGGTATTCAGGGTCGTAACTTTAAAGTATGACCAATCCTCCATTTGATTATTCTATGTAAACATAACTTTAAAATTTAAATGTTCAGGGGCCTTAGTCAAGATGCCTTAACAGTAGTGTATGTAGAACGTCAAAAACTAAATTTGTATGAAAACTTTTCGACACGAACTGTCATTTCCATACAAATTAAGTTTTCGACTTTCTACATACACTACTGTTAAGGCATCTTGACTAAGGCCCCTGAAAGAAAAGTGTTTTTCTATAACATTATCTATTAGTTAATGAGTCAAAAGTCTCTATTGAGCTTGAAATTATTGAACAAACTTCCTTGCTAGGTAGAATTCATCATCGCCTAATTATGAATTGATACGAGAAACGTAAAAGTAAAAAAAACGTGTGGCACTCGGGGACTGCTGCGGTAAAGCTATTGCATAGCATTTTTTATCAACTAAAAAAATAAATCAATGATCATTTTTAAATCTACGTCGACTTTTCGGATCTAAGACATGTCGGTTTCCTCACGATTTTTTCCTTCACCGTTCGAGCAAATGTTAAATGCGCACATAGAAAGTCCATTGGTGCACAGCCGGGGATCGAACCTACGACCTCAGGTATGAGAGTCGCACGCTGAAGCCACTAGGCCAACACTGCTCAACTTATGCAATTATAACTATTTTTTATTTATTCAGTATTTTTTTTTTATAAATTCAATCTACCTCTCTACCAGACTCAGACTAACACACCTATATAGTCTGTCTCACTCTAAAGTGGGTGATATACGTGCGAACTTAAAGTACGCGGTTTTTAAGATCGTGAACTTACTAGGCTCGACGTCGGTAACGTGAAGCTTGCTCATACTAAATCGCGATGTCGTCAGAGAAGAAGCTTTGTTATTTTGGAATTTATCATCTACATTTTAAAAACTAATAAAAAAGAAGAAATCGACAAGTGTGGGTAAACACTGGATTACGAAAAGGAGCGTTTTCGCTGTGATTAGTAAGAGAAAAATTATAAAAAAAAAATGGCGCTCCCGGCTCTCCTCCCACTAAACCGAGACACCGAGTAAATTTCAAACAGGTTGGATCGCCGTCGAACTTGCGCGGCAATTTTAAAGTACGCGTTTTTAAGGTGACACACAGGCGAAAAAGGTCGTCGAGCCACAAGTCCGCGTACTTACTCGCACGTCTATCACCCACCTTATGCGTACCGGCTGCACCGGCCGCGCTTACGGTACGTCACTGATCTCGTCAGAGAGATGTGAATACGCAGTATGCGTTCTGTCCCGCGCCCTAATGCGTATTGGCCGCACCTATATTACGGCGTCGTGTGTTACGTATTTATTTTCGTTACGGAATTTCTTGATTCGGTCGCCGCGCTCATAGCCCGCGATTAAATCTTCACTCTTTCTTATAAGCTTGATTCTAAATTGGCTTTAACCATTTTGTTCCGTTAAAAAACGACTACAGAACAATATCTTTATTAACACAGCCATGGTCTTACCGGTGGACATCTAGCAAATTGCCGCATTCTATCCATTAAACGCATGGCGTCGTCCGATGTTTCAGAGTCTGTAGTCAGCCCCAATGAAAGTGCTCTATCCATGTTGCCTACTAGACATCTGAAAATAATAAACACTAATGAATATATAAAAATATAATTTGTACAGCTTGCCTACCAGTGGACTCTATGTGAATCTATGTTGGCAAACTGTAAGGTGACTTAATATATTACAGGGTGAAACTAAGAACCCAGCAACTCTACGGTTTCTTAAGCCCAGAGTTGTAACCCACATATTATAATAGTGAAAAAATAAATATTTACAATTTATGTATCAATACCAGGGGAGACTAGGTCTCTGGTTAGGATTGATGTGGTGGTTGCTCACCACAATAACCAAAATTTATATATGTATAATAAGTATGTTTGTAACAAATTGGCCCAAAAACCTTTTTAAAAATTTCACTTTCACCACTTTGATGCTACATTATCACTGATTAATATAAGATTATATATATAATAATTTTAATTGCAAGAAAAAAATTAGGAACCCTAGTAGGGTTCACACTTCACAAACTACAATAATGTGTAGGGTTCACAGGGTATAAAAAAATGCCTAAACTTTATTCGCATGCGCTGCGAAAAACTATTGATGATAGAACAAAAAACATGTCATACTATATTAAAGAACATATCAATATCTACAAAAAAAAAGTCCACCCGTGTAAAGCCGTGACGGGCCACTAGTATTATAATATAATATTCTAATAGAATTCCTGCTATTTGGTTGGTTAAAAGGTAAACATATGTATAAAAAACTTTTAATACAATTGTGAGAGAAAAAACAGACCTATTGGTGGTCGGTCGGGACCTCTGCGCGTGTCTCCAAGCAGCAGCTGCGCGTGCACGCCATGTGGTTGCCTCTTCTACCGCTGCGGACGCACTGGCTTCTAACGCCGCACACGCACCACGGAGGTCCACCACCTTTAATATCATATATACTTTAGATATATGATTAAGTAGTATTTCTTCGATTAGCGCGAAAACGGAAAATCTAGATATCTAGCGGGTACTGCCATAACTGCCAAAAGAATATGATTTTGTACTGGGACTTTGCCATAAGTATATTATTTTGTTAAACTTTAATTGGCTATACAGATAGCGTTTTTAAAATAAGCCACACATGTCTTAATTTGTCTGTAATAGGAATATTACGACGTTAAAGAGAAAATGACCACAGGAAAAAAGAATACATAATAAATTAAAGTATACCCTATGGTAGAACCGACTACGTTTTTTATTTCAAAGAATTTAAAAAAAAATTAAAGAAAAAGAAGAGTATTGCCACACTACGCTTTTGTTTCCCCACAAATAAGACGATTCGGTCATCTCAAACTTCAGAAAAACATCATACCATCTATTAATATAAATCTTACCTTTTGAAAATACCTATAAAGCAAAGTCTTAATTTCATCGTGGGACAGTTTATCCAGTCTCGCCATCAACATTTGTTCACCTCTATTCCTACTGTCTTTGTTATCCTGTGAGTCTGATAGTGAAGCTGACGGGGATCGGCCACATATTAAATTGTTTTTGTATTCTATAGCGGTGTCTATTGCCTCTATTGCTTCTTCGCATTCAAGTATTTTACGTTCCTAGAAATAATTGTAAAAATAAACCTTTACTGACATATATTTGGTTGGTAAGATTTTATGGTCGTATAGATAAGTAGAAGAGTATGTTATAAATTATAATCAATTTTTTATAAAGAAAAAGAAGTCCGAAAGGAGACAATACTAATACTAACTACTAGATGTTACATCTCTTTAATTCAACATTTGCATGTTTACACACATGGCGGTAAGGTTGGTTCTAACAAGAAATATTTGTTAAGTTTAAGCAAAAAAGTTTATGAAATAGACGCAGACTTGTGTCTTTTTATTTTATTCAATTATTATTACTTTGTTGCATGTACATAAATATAATACAAATGACATAATTCAACAAAAATCAGGGCAACTGGCGGCCTTATTGCTTTCTAGCTTCCAGGCAATATATTAAAGATTATGGAACTTCAAATATTATTCCAAGATGTTCCAATTTTATTATTTGGTAGAATAAAACATACCTCTGAATCTGATAAAGACTTGTATAATTTTCGCTTGTGTCCTAAACTACACCGCTGTTCATGTAAACATTCCCTGGTCTTCCGTAAATTTTTAATTTCTTTTCTTAGCATGAGCTCCTTTTCTCTTGAAAGTTCCAAATTAGCCAAATCATTTGCTTTCTCTTTCAATATACTATCTAACTGAGTAATTCTATTTGTAAAATGCTTTATGGTATGTACTTTTTTATCTTTTATTTCAACTGATGTTTCTGAGAGTTCATCTAACTTCAACTTATCCTTAAGTAACTCGACATCTAAGGTGTTTTTTCGTTTTTCGTCTTTCTTTATTTGTCTTTTTATTTGATCTATTTGTTTTTTATATGTTTTAACGTTAGTTTCATGCCTTTTAATCTCCTTAATTGCATCAATATCAATAAGATTTGATTCTGACTTCTCTGTATAAGTTTTACTTCGGGTGTTGTTAGAAATGCTTTTGCCCAGATCATCAATCAGCCTCTTCTTTGATATACAAAGATTAATTAACTCTTTTAGCTGTGACTGACTTGTGCTTATTTCTTTCGATAATTTTCTAGCTAAAATTTGTTTCTGCCCATACTTCTCTTTTGTAATTTTATATTTTTTACATATTTCATTTGTTTTTGGCGAGTCAATCATTTTTAATAATTCCCTTTCAATTAGCTTAGGTTCGGGATCAATTTCTTTTTTATGAGATTCTATAATAATCTTTTGAGATTCTGGAGAGATAGCATTAGCTGCAACTTTTCTCAGAAGTTCTAGCTGAGCTCCTGATAAACTTTCACCAGGCTGTATAGTTCTTCTGCGACCTGAATTTGATTGAGATGTTAAAATAGGTAGTGACTGTGAGCCACTTGTTTCAGATATAGTGATATCATCTGAATCAATATGATTCAAATAGTCTTCACATCTATCAGCAAACAATTGATCATTCTTTTCTCTAAAATATTCCATCATTTTCTCAACTTTATCTTGAAAAACAGTTTCTGAATCACTGTCTTCCGAGTCTGATTCAACATCAGATTCACTGGGTTCACTAGGTTCAGTATCTTCAGCTATTCTTGGTAGTCCTTGCTTTGTGTTGGCTTCTTTATTATCCACAGATATATCATTATTCAGACATTCATCACACTCTGCTTTCAGAAACAACCATTCACTGACTTGGCTCATATCTGCATCTGATACTGATTTAGATTGTAAAATTTTGTTGAATAAACCTTCTGCATTGGACACTAATTTGATCCACTGTGCTGTTGCAAATTGTAAGTTGAAAGCATTATCTGAAGGTAAAGTCTTTTCAGAATACACTGGTGTATTATTGTCAGCGAATAAGTTGACAGTTACAAAATTCTTTATACCTCGACAACATAAACATAAATTGAGTATTTTTAAAGTATCTTGGTATTCTTCAGGTTCAGTACTAATACAGCCTATGACCCATGTAAAAGCTCGCCCACCAAAAGAATCACGTAGCATGGCAGTCAATATACATCTATCATAGTTAATTTGTTTAGGTGGATTACCCGCAATTAGTTCCTTAATAATATTCTCTAAAGCAAACAGTCCTGGTTCAGGGTATGCTGCAAGCTCACAAAAACTAGCAGTAGACATACGGTGATTAAGGACACCATTTGTTCCCACCCACTTTTGTTCCATACTAACAGTGAAAACGGTATGATTGTTACCATGACACCTCTGACGCCAGCCTAATTGAAGATATTGAAATGCTTCTTCAATATTACAGCACCGGACTAATCCACCACCCAGCACATCAAAAATGTTATTATTAATTACTTGCATCCATGTTATGTGCAATATAAATTCTCTCTCGGGCATCTGGCTAAGCTTATGAAAGATTTCAGATAAAAATCGTGGTACAATACCTTGATCACATTCACTGTGAATGCATTCAAAACCTAGAAATAATCGAAAATCATATTATTAGCGTTCAAATTATGAATATGTATAAATACTAGAAAATCTTCTAACCTGGTCCAAACAAAGTATATGTTTTTCCTGACTTTGATTGCCCAAAAACAACGACTGACGTATCACAACCATCCAGAAAGCAATTTATTTGTGGTATCATAAAAGAATTAAATAAGTGAACTTGTGTGCAGTCCACTGGTAGTGCTCTATTTACGTGAAATGTTTGCCCACTCTCTGTTATGACGATTTGTGTTACAGGATTGCTAAATATACATTGTAGAGAATCTGCAATACCTGGAGGCTTAAGACGCACTGCTATTTGTACAGGTATATCCATTGTAACTGTTTACTAATTTTACAAATATGGTCAATTTCAGTTTCTTAATTACTTAATTGCATCTATATGACAATAATATCAACATCACTTTTATTTTACACAATTTTATTTGTAATTAAATTTCATTGTAATATATTTACAGATAATTATAATAAATACATTTGTTTACAATAAAACAAATAATAGTGTATACTTTATAGAATACTATTATATCTATTACAGATTAACTATAGATATAGAGTAAAAAGCATGTAAAATATCTAGGTAAAATACAGATATACATTTTAGACGGACTTTATGTTGAGAGTTCATGAGACTAGCCTAATACGAGTAAGTATTGTAGCTTGTAGTCCTTCTATTTTACCGTACCTTGCTAATAGAGGTGAAACGTTTGGTGTTATTTATTTAGGTCGTACATAAAAAAAAATTCACTAAAGGAGTAAAAGTTAACATAATAATTACAAACTTATTATAACTATAAGACCTCCTAGGTAGCTAGTGCTAGTTTTAAAATACCAGCTACTCTACTCTGACAGAAACATTTAGCTCATACTCGAGATAAATTTTCCTGTTTTAATGTTCTAAACGGTGACTATTGGTGTATGGGTTTTTATTATTTTGTGTAGATATGTAAATTGTTGCATTTCTTTCAATTAAATAAACAACACATAATCTGATATACTGATATACTCACTAGGGTAGAATTTTTGAAGTCATACTTCTTTTATACGAAGTTAGCTATAGTCAACATTTTAGTTTTTTCTTGTCGATTTTTCTACAAACGTAGAATGAAATTTTTGAAAAGATTTTTATCTTGTTGCACCAAAGACTGGCGTAACAGTAAGATAAACGAGATACGCGTTAGAAGTTATACTTATAACTTTTAATATACAAATATTGTATATTAAATGTCGCTAAATATCAGTTTTAAATAATTTTGCATTTAAATTTACGTATTACGGGACATCAATTGTATAGTCTTCGCACTGCACCTAAGTGGATGTGGATGTCACGTTGATTTGGTATAACGCACAGCTAAGTAAAAAATGTGTAATATTAATAATATGTTTAATTTTCTTTAAGCGTTCTGTCTGATTAAAAAGCTCATGAAAACGAAACATCGTGTATAATATATTTTAGGCTATATTATAAACTCATCGTTGTCAATTATCAATATGAAGTCTGACAGTTGTCATAATAACGATTTACGTCAACTAAGTTGGCAACATAAAATTTAGCCTTTTTCCGGCTCTCTGTGGCATTGAAAGTAAGGAATGAAATAATTTTTAAAATAAATCTAATGAAATCAAAGTGATATTAGCAATTTTATAAATTTGCTGTAACGCAGTTATATGTAATTGTTTTTGACGTTCGTTTTCATTCATATTTTTCGTATTTTTTGTGTTAAGTGTGAAAAATAACCAAAATACACACATAGGTTAAAGTGTTGCTTTGATACAAGCGTATTATTTTTAGGGCCTCAAGATGAAGCAAATCGTTGCTAATCAAAAAGTGAAAATCCCCGAGGGGCTTACAGTCCATGTGAAATCTCGCCTTGTGACAGTAAAAGGCCCGCGAGGTGTTCTAAAGAGGAACTTCAAACACTTGGCTGTGGACATCCGGATGGTAAACCCCAGGTTACTTAAAGTGGAAAAATGGTTCGGTTCCAAAAAAGAACTTGCAGCAGTACGAACTGTGTGCTCTCACGTTGAAAACATGATCAAAGGTAAGATTTGTGTTTATTTTGAGGTTCAGATTATAAACAAGGCGTCACTTAAGTCACAATTTCGTTATAATATTATACGTAAACATTTTAATGTGGTCTTTTTATTAATATATAGTTATTATATGATTCGTTTCTACAACATATTTCCTTTTCTTTCATAAGTCAAAACTAGTATAGGTTATACTCAAAATGTACCTTATACTTGGAAATTTCTTCAATTAAATGTTTTATGAGTTGCTTGTAAATAGTTAAGTTTATTATCAAATATTTAAATAACACAGTTAGAAATATATAAGCAATCATAAACAGTCCTGTGTTGTTCACTTTAACCTAGGTAGTAGATGATTTTATAACTTAAAATCTACTCAAACTTTTGCCACACTTACTATTCTAATACATTATGCTTATCAGGTAGATGAATAATAATTTAACATTGTTAAATTTACCCTTTAATGAGTGGTAGAGATCAGATTTAACATCCTACATTCTCAAATGTTATTAATAGATTGTTTTTGATTAATTTATATTCAAGATAAGAATATTTCTATGTAGAATTAATTTATGAGAAGTAGTTTATTATATTATATTTTCATAGCAACAATTTGGCTTTTTACAGGTGTAACTAAAGGATTCCAATACAAAATGAGGGCTGTATATGCTCACTTCCCCATCAACTGTGTCACCATAGAAGCTAACACGGTTATTGAAATTCGTAACTTCTTGGGTGAAAAATACATCAGAAGGGTAAAGATGGCTCCTGGTGTAACAGTAGTCAACTCCACTAAACAAAAGGATGAGTTGATTATTGAAGGCAACTCCCTGGAGGATGTTTCCAGTTCTGCAGCCCTTATCCAACAGTCTACCACAGTTAAAAACAAGGACATCAGAAAGTTCTTGGACGGTCTATATGTGTCTGATAAAACAACTGTTGTTGTAGATGAAGCGTAAGGGTAATAAATTTTAAGCCGTATTCAAGTGTTTTATTATATTTACTTACCATAAATGGTATGCAAAAGTGGTTCAAAATATATAAACAACACTGTAATTTCTTATCTAAAGTGAAGGTACTTAACTGTATAACATGGCTTAATGTTGATGTTATAAATTTGACTTAACTTTGTACAATTAACATGAAAATTTCTTAAACAATATGACCTGTATAACACACTTGTTTTTTAACTTGGGTAAATTATGTGAAATTTAGATGGTATTTGTGTTCTAGTACTAAGACAAAATAATGATTCATATCCATAGTAAGGTACAGAAGCTTGAGTGCTAAGCTTGGCCAACTGTAGTGCAAATTCTGACAGCTAAAATTTCATAAATATTGGTTCATCATCTTTCCAAAAATTCTGTGTTGTAAAAATAGTGACATTGAAATGCAAAAACGTGTTTTTACCATCTTGTGAACACAAATTCTTTTTAAATCTTTCACTTATCATGATAGAAAAACTAAAAAAAAGGTTGACTGTCATTATTCGTCTATCTCGAACTCCATATTAACTTGGTAGTTAAGATATGGGTTAGTCAAAAGGGTCTCTTACTTGAAAAAAAAATTTACTGCCAGCATCATGATCATTTTGAGCCATTTTGTAATTTTAGTAAGCCACAGAAATAATAACAATTTGCATTAAGTATGAAATATTGATTTACTGACTAATAAAGTTCCTGAAATTCTACCTGCATGAGAAATATCAATCGCGTACCTCAAGTTAAAAATTCATTTGTAAGTGCCAACTAGTCTGTCCCTTCACTAACAATTATTTTGTCCCCTAGGACACTATTTAAAGACTGTTCCCGCGAGTTCGCCCGTGTTCTTATCAAACTACTTACAAATTTTAAGTATGTATTTTTTACTTCTATTGCAGCACTTAGCGTAGTCTTCCCCTTGTTAAATACTAAAGTGCTGATAGTTTCTTTCAAACAAATTGTGTGTACTGCGATGAAAAAACGGAAGTGTAATTAAATCAATTTAATATTAGCCAATGGGGTTTAAAGTTTGAATTTTTTAAATGTCTTATCTTATAATTTAAAGAAGGGAGAGGGTATTTATGTAGATACGCCACACCAACTCCAATCACGACGATAATTAAATGAAACAAATAGCAAATAAGACAACATAGATTTTTCAACGTAAATAACTTTATTCAAACTAATTCTATTGAACATCACTAACTGATAAACATTGTACATCTGCAAATATGGATTTCAATAAAATGTTAAAATAGGTAATAACTATGTATTTGTTAAAATATTTATACTTACATTTTATTATACAGAAATAAACACATTTTATTAATTTAATAAAATAGCTACTTAGTACGACAATAAATACCTAATTAAAAGAACATTCCACAATAATTCATGTTAGATATCATTCATAAAAATAAGACACAAAATAATATTAAAAACTTTCCGAAAAAATTACAAAAATATGCTTATTAAGCAATCATTATTATGGCATTATATTTGTAAAGCAGGGATATAAAAAGCAAAAACTGTTAAGTAATTACATCAGTAATTGGTAAAAGCAATGGGATGTTGCCAAATATCTTTGGTTTACATATATTTATGTAATGGCGGGTTAAATAAATTCATACTTTGCATTGCAATATGTATAACTATACAAGTCAATTATAATTAAACACTCGACATACACAGTAAACAAAATTAAGTACAAGGGAAATATTATATTATAATTCACATCAATTCATAAAATATTTGCTCTTAAAAGTAAAAGCCTACATAGGTATTAATATGTATGAAATAAAATCTAAAGCATTATGTCCTCGCAATGTGCCATATTTGCAGATGAGCATACTGTTACTCCGTAAGAAAATAAAATTCTCAATAAATAAATGTCAAACGCTATTCTGGGTGAGACATTTCACACCGTTAACACAATTCCTTACTATAAAAATGATCAACAAACAACTTGCACCTAATCGACTCCGGTGCCTGCGGTGTGTATGTCATGAGATTCAAATGGCTATGATTGAATGCCGCTTGAGCAAATAATTCTGATTGTCTTAGCCTAGCCATGCAGGACTGGGTCCATGAGGAGGTGGGTTCCGACTAAAGTAAGTTATAACTAATTAGTTTGTCATATGTAACATCACTGTGCTGTGATTTGTCGTTTGATTAACCGTGTGTATACTTCTAACGCTGAAGAAAATTCACATTACTCTAGCAATCCGATAACAAATCAACATGAATAATACCATTTATTTTTCTACAATATACAATTTCATTTACATAGTCGAGATGAAGCTTAATACCCGATTTTAATAAATAATTTTTAGTATAAAGCAATCATATACGGCTATTAAACGCACAATGAACGTAAGCGTAAATATACTACAGAGAAAGCGTTGAAACGTAGCGAAAACTTTATTAAACAATTCACGTTCGAGTTAAGTGACATAAAATCTTAATTTCAAAATCAACTTATAACTAGAACGTTAAAATGTAATAGGAGTGTGTCAATGTAAATTGTCAAATCAAGTCAAACTTTAAGACTACTATGAACCTCAATCTGGGCCCTGGGGGTCTACCGTGACGTCATAGCCGGTCAATGAAAGGCGATATTAAAACTGTCCGGTTATTTGGTACTAAATAAAAACAGGCCAAAATAATATTTGGACTACCAAAACCTCGTTCTGTACGTTAGCCAGAAAGAACACCTGCAATAGGGCAATTGCAGGTCAGCGGAGTTGACCTGTATGGAAGTTGACATGTTTTTATGAAGTTCACGGTAGGCCCCTAGCCGTGCAGCTATCTATCGGGCCTTCCCGCAAAACTATATGTAAAATTAGTTTTACTTCAGTTTGGAGGGAGACCTGTCGTTCGCTACTTTGGCCGGGGCCATAGGAGATTCTATCTATATTCAAAATATTTTGGACTTAACATATTATCTGGAGGCACAATTGATCGTCCGTAGGAATACAAGGGCAGGTTGAAGCAGTCTAAATCGGAATAAGAATTAATCTACTTCTAAAAATACAAGGATCATCAAAGTTCCGAATAATTCTGAGTCCTTGTATTCTTATTATACTAAGGACGAGAAATCACACTTAAGTTTTAGAGCCCTTAAGGTTGAAAATTTCAATTACAGTCACAATCAGGTACTTTAATTAAGTGTAATTTCTTTCGTTAGTATCTCGAATTCAGTGCAATCCCGTGGTAACGTTTTCAAAACTGCCAACAGATGGCGTTATACATTTATTTATCGGTAGTTGCATTCTGAATTTGCGTAGCGGGACTGATTCATATACTCGAGTTTTAGTAAATCGATTTATTGCTTTGTAATAAGATGCATTCTAAAATGCCTCAGTGTATCAGTCCTGCTTCGAAGCTTATGGTAATGGTAATCCTACCCTGCATTAATTTAACAATTTGAGTAATTTAAAAACAACGCCATCTATCGGCAGGTGGTAATAGTTCAAGTGTTGCACTAATAGCTGGATGTGAAGTCCTAAAGCGGATCGCGGCGTGGCACCCAAACAGAGGGCCCACTCTCCGCTGCTATAACAGCTTTCACCTTAGCATATATCTCTTCGGGCGTGTCGCCTGTCACTACGGCTGGAAATACAATTTTAATATTAAATCAATAGTTTCAATACATATTCAACCTTGCAAACAACTTTCAATCTCAACTTCGTAGATTTAATGAGCGAAATATTTAAGACTCTTAAATATTTAGCAAGGCACAGTTCTGGAATCTGCTAAGATACCTTGAAATAATAAAAAAAAGAATGCTATAAAAAATAAATAAATAATATACCAGTGAAATATTCAGCAAATTCTTGTTCCATCTTTAGTGCGCGTTCGTAAGTCTTTTTCGCTTGCTCTTCGGTCATTCGTTTTGTCATTTCCCTGGAATAATAGATTTAATAATAAATATTGTTTTAAAAAATGGATAAATTTTATTTTTAAAGAAACTTACATAATAGATTCTACGCTCTTTGGTTTGATGAATATGGCGATGGGAAACAGTTGCGCAACTTGTAACCTTTTTATGGCATTTCCGCTTACGTCTAAAATGCAGTGCTTGCCCTGAAAATAAATTAGATATTGTTAAAAAAATATTTATTATTAAATATAATTTCGCTCCTTGCTTATATTTCTATGAAGTTTTAACTTGTTTTGTAATGTGCCTGTTATAATAAACATATATTATAATTTTTTTAATATAACTTATTACAACACAGTTTGACAGGTTGAGACGAAATAAGTTTAAACAGCGTAATTAAACTAATTAAATGATATAAATTACGGGAATAAGTGATAACGTTTAGATTCGAATAGTGGACGTTTTTAGTATTAATAATTACCTTTTCAGCGACTTCTCTAACGGATGCAACAGATGTTCCATACAAATTCTCATTGTATTGGCCAGCTTCAATAAACAAGTGATTTTGTATATCGCGCTCCATCTGCTCACGGCTCGCCACAAAATGATAATCACGACCGTCCACTTCGTAGTCACGTCGCGCCCTCGTTGTATCTGTTATTATAAAAATAAAGTTCAGTGTTTATAACTTTTTGGAGTAGACACAAAAGGCTGACCATATAGTTGCCTTAAAAATATATCAGCGATACGGACTCTCAAATTTGTTTGCGCCCATTGGTGCGTTACGGGATATCAAATTATATACTACTATATTAAATAAAAATAAGTTTTTTAATAAAATATAGGGTTCCATCCGTCGGTTATAATTAGAAATAAAAAAATATTTTTTTTACTTTGCAACCTACATATCATTTATACCTTAATATAATTAAAACTTTAAACTTACGGGGAACACAGCTACCGAATTTATCAGGGAATTCTGATATTAGATCGTCATTGATCCTATCCTTAAGCGGGCCAAGGATGATGACAGGTCTTGTGTAGTTTATGGTCATCTGTTGCACCGTTTCGTATGATAATACATTCTCCTCTTGGCCTGCAATAAAAATATTTTGTAAGCATTCTACACTCTATGGAATGATCTCAAATTTGATGTACCAAAACAAATGGCCATCAATAACCTTCCCATACATTGAAATGAGTCTTTAATTTGGTTGGTCATCATTGTATTTCAAAATAATTCTCATGTCACTGCAATGTCAGATTAAATGGAGCATATTTGAATCTATTCATTTGTTTTGGTCATACAACTCTTAAATATAGCGTTTCACTAAGGGTCTATGCGTTAGTCTCTAGAATGCATTATACCGTGACAGTTATTTATGATGCCCTTGTCTATAGAATTATAAAACTTCCGTTACTATCTATCTGTGTTGCAATCAATCACTCAAACTAGCGTGCCTCACTAAATAAACTCGTGTCGTCTAATTTCTTAAGTGCATTAAAATTAACTTCGTAACCAATGGAGTAATCTTAAAGCAGCATATGCTTAGCATAATAATTATGTAAACTCAATTGGATACATTTCAAACTCAAATTCTTATTCTATAGTAATAAAGCTAATAATTTATACATATTCATTTAGACTAATTAATATCAACTCTTTCTACTTTTATAATTTCTTACCTCCTATAAAATATACTACAGTTCAAACCTACCATTTCATAATCATTTTATGCAAATAATAGATATTTTATTATAAGCAGCAGCTCAACAAATTAAAGCGTTTAAATTCAAACAAAATTAAATATTATAGCGAATATTTACAAAGCAAATATAAAAGCTCACTAGTCCGATAATGCGAACCCAATACTTAAGCGACAACATATGAACGACAAATACGACCAGTACCCAGAAATTCATCCAATCTTAAGGTTCGTCAAAGTCATTTCTCAAGATTAGCCTGGGACATCGAGTGCTCCTAGTACTGATAAATCCGAGTAGCTGATCATGCTTGATGACGGATGTAATGCAACTAAAGGAAGCGCATACGCGTGCGGGCGTGAAGCTGCGTGAAAGAGGCGGCTCTCGTGTCCTCGTGTGCTTCCAGTGGCCCTCTCTCCGTCCACAAATAATCAAAGCCTTATTCATATATCAAATTTCATTGCACTTGGCGGCCGTCGCCCATTCTACGAGTGCTCACTTTCTATTAAAAAATTTCGTGATTTTGAAACATTGATGTGTGGAGAGGCTATTAGAATCATCGCGTATGAATTAGAGAGTAAACCAACTAAACGTAAAATGACAAATAATAGAAAATCGAGTGTTATTTAAATGAATACTACGTTTCTAATTGATGATCATAACCAGAATGCGGGAGGTAAGGTAACGGCTACAGCACTCGCAAGCTACGCCTCACTCCCAACACTTACTCTCGTCCTCGAGATAAATGAGCGTTATCTCCTCCATCATGGGAAGTTCCACTCGGTACAAGATTTCTCCTATACGTAGAAAAATTAACAAATTTAATAGTATTTTAACATTTTGAAACCGGTTCACCAAAACTCTTTTCATCAACAATTTGGCACATTCACCATCATTTTACGTGTTTAGATCGCCGACGCCTGAATCGAGAATTACCGAGATTATTTACGACAGTTTAACGCTCAAGGCAACTAGAAGCACGGGACGGCGGCCGTCTGTCAAACCCATCCGTGTGCTTACGACTCATTATTGTATGACCAGGCTACAACATTTATGCCATGTAAATAAATCGTAAACTATACGACAACCACACAGCCGTAAGCGTTTATCCAATTATTAAATAAAATAATTGCTTGTTCAAATGTTCATTTGGGACGGTATGGTGCTTTAACTGTATCGCACATCCAGAGATCTTGAAGACCGAAGGGCCTTTTAAAGGAACAAAAGGAAGAGGCTGCCCCATCTTTTAAAATGAAACATGGCCCATACGGTTGTGTGGCACACAAACTAGATGGACGCGTACGTCTAAATCATACGCGCACCCACGTACGAGCCCGCGTATTATTTGACAAGCAACAAATGCGTCAAATAACTAAACCTCTATATAATTAATTGCGAATTATTAAGCACCTTCATGCCTTTCATATACACTACAAGCGTTAATTTACTCACACATATCCAGAAAAAATTTGTTTAACAATCGATAAAACCAATTTACTAAGTATTAGATAAATGTACCATATATTGAAATATAAGAAAATTTAACCTGTTTTACTGAAAACTCGGTGACTACTGAAATACAGTACGAATTCAAAGTACGATAAATGAACATTTGAATATCGATACATATTTAAACCTTTAACATCGTTGTTAGAAAGCAGAGAACTTAATAAATATAATAAATAATAAACCTCCAGTGTATATTAGCAGCCGCATGAGATAAAATGCGTATTCACCAACATAATCTTATCGACCACGACATGATTTTAGTAAAAGTATAAACAAATATTGAAAGTGTAATGCATAATATAGCGCAACAGACATGTCAAAAAGAAATGTTTTTAATCCCAACCGCCTATTAATTAGTCATTTAATTTCTGAAAATTCTAAAATATTTGGAATTTTTTAAATGTACAAGAACTCTATAATTTAAAAAGCATCAATACGCCTATTAGCCAACTTCCAATCGGCTTTCGTAGAAATCTTTATCCAATTACACACAACAATGGCTAAAAGACGTCATATCAGCTTGAAGGTCGATAAGAGAATGTCCTACGACAAGAGCGAGATAGCGGTATATATAGAAAGAGATAGGCACTCACCGTCCGCGTTCGTGTCCTCCTGCGTGTAGCAAAGCATGAAAGCTGTAACAGAATTTACAATTACCCTCATAATTTATAAACCGCCAATTTAGACATAGCGATGATTGGAGACACTAATTGAAGATTTAGATATAAATCTTATGCTGCCTATGTTTTACTCTTATATCTAAAACGTTCTAGTTTATTTAGTGCAAGGAAGACAAATTACATTTATATTACCGTTATATTTACAATGTTATACTGAAATAATTAGTGTTTTTTTAATGTATTTATTTTACAGAATATAATATAATATGCTACATAAGAAAACCACTATGATTGGTATTATATAGCAGTCTTTAAAAGATAAATATCCCTTATCAGTTTTTGCTCTCTATGCCTAAGGTGAATTTAAAAAAAAATATAATGTGGTTAAAAGAAATCCAGCTAACTGCTGGCATATCTTAAGCATTTACGTTATAAAATCTGATTATGAAACTTACGCTCTTGGTCCGAGCCATCTTCAGACTTGCCGTCTTCCCGACTCTTCATAAACGGAAACTTTCTACTGAACGATAAGGTCTTCTTTTTCCTTTCCAGCGTTGATTGGCTCTGAAACATAATATACCTTCAAATTAAAAATACAATTAAATATTTAAGATTTGTTTTATGGCAACAGGTATGAAATACATAATTTGGAGTTTGTTTCGATACGATTTATTAAAGTTATGTTTAAGTCAGATAAGTACCAAATTCGGAGCATTATTACATTTTTTTCGCCGACTAAAATTAGTCGACGATATATACGATAGACGATAGCCGATTAGTCGACGAGTAATTTGTTTGGGTATGTTCCAGCCTAGCTCCGCCGTCCGTGAATCGATCTAGTCAATGGAGGTGTCAAATGGTTCGGATTTGCAGCGAATTTGAAAATTAATCTATATTTGATTAACATCCTAAATAAACGGCGATATTTTACTAGTTAGTGCCGATATTATATTTGAAAACTAGACATTTAAATAAAACTTCTTGAACGGAAATAAAGGCAATTCCTTAATATTATTCACACAACTTGATATATCGAGTGCATTAGAATCTTGAAGGTTAAATAATGACTATTGTTTACCGCGATATATGGTTGCAACAAACAGTACACTAAAATAATTTAAACCTTGTCAAAGAAATGATGCATTTTACGTGGTCCTTCGAGTCGGATATCAAATACAAAACGCATAAAATGTATCAGTAGGGTTAAAAAAACACTTACAGTACTAACAGGGGTCCCTTGTCCTTGAAATTTGACCTGCCTGTCGCGTGCACGCTGTTTCCGCTCCCAACGACGCTTCGATGGTATAATGCCGATCGCATCTGGATCAGTACTGTCTAGTCGCCTACAATAATAATAAAATATAAAGGCAACTTTTAAACTAGAAATTAAACTTATTGAAATATTATCAGTTATTCGTCAAGATTTTTTCAACAATATACGACCTTCTTTGATTACAATACTGTTGGAATATTAGTGACTTACCTGGCCTGCCACCACTCGTCATCCGAAGCGTTGGTGACGTGTAATATATCGCCGTAACGGAATGGAAGACCTCGCGAAGGTAAGCCATCGTCACGGATCGGGTCATAGTCGAATAGCGCTCTGAAATTTTAAATAATTTAATAAAAATTTAATCTATATTATTTTATATTCACTATCCGAGTTTACTTAGAGAATTACGTACGAAAATAATGGCGAAAAACCATCAAAAATTATAATGTTACTATGTTTCTAATTTCTATTGCTTAGATCAAAACGAGAACTTTAACAGATTTTGCAAACCTTGTCTTACATTACATTACGTCTTAGGCTATGTTCAGATGGCAAAAACTTGACACGCGTTTTCAAATCGCGCGATTAGACATTGTGGTATTTTCATACAACTGTTCACGCGCGTCAACGCGGCGCTCAGAGAAAAAGACTCTAGACCCCCAGGTGATCGCGCGTTGACGCGCGCTTTGATATTAATGTAATGTTCGTATGCTGTTCAGTTGAGCGCGCACTTTCATCGCGATCGCATGTAATTTTGTTAATTTTCGTAATTATTATAACAAACTGGGTCTATTTTTCAAAATTGGATGAACCCAATGTGTACGTTTTCTTTTTCTATATTTTTCTTTATAATTAACCACAAAATAATAGCCTCTTCCACGTCCATTTTCTACGTTCTACCGAACTAGACTGACGAGTACTCGCAACGCGCATTAGCGCTCATCATCTGAACTCTCTTCAAATTTGATCGCGCGTTACATGTGAACATAGCCTTAGAAAGAAACAATGTTAAAAAAACTACTAGGAGAAGACTACTATACATTATCCCTGAGTAACAAAGACTATTTATTTCCAAGGATATTAAGAAAAAACTAAACTTTCAGCCATGCGAAGTCGGGACAGACCTATTGTTTTGGAATCGTATAGAAGTGTAAACTACGCAATAGTTATTTAAAATATTCAAATTTTGTAATAAAAATAGTTTAATATCGATAAATATGTTAATAAGGTACCTATTTATCATAACATCAAGATAACTCGTTTTTAATTTGTTTTTTACTAATTTACTTATTGTAAATATATACTTCGCATCTAAAACACGATCAAAGTCACCAAAGCTTGATTGGTGTATGAATTTGTTCATTTTAAACGTAAGATTATGATCTATCAAACAAAACATTAGAAGTTATAGTTTTTATATTTCTACAAAAGTAGGTATGTAAAACAACCAATATAGCGCGTTGGTCTACTTAGCAAGTGACTAACATACCTAAGGTCGTAGGTTCAAATCCCGGTTATTCACTGACGGACTTTATATGTGCGCATTTAACACTCGCTTGTACGTTGAAGGAATCATGAGAAAACTTAGACTTTGACCCAAAAAAAGGCGTGTGTGAGGCACAACCTACATTCCTATTATAAAAACAAATGATCACGAAACAGATATCTGAACCCCAGGCCTAAAAGGTTACAACACTTAAGTAATACATACCTGACATATAAAGATCGTTTCTGCGACGTTCGTAGTAGCGTATTATGTTGCTTCAACTCATTGATACGTGCCTCGAACTTGTTGTATTCCTGCGGCCTATATACAACTGTTAATTTTACATTTTGGCCGGTACTCTGTAAATAAATGACATTTTGTATTACCTGTTTGCTCTCTGGTTGATTGGCATCCTTACGATCACGTTATGCGTTCTACTTACAATACGTGACTGCTTATTAAATTAAGCAACCATATTTAATGTTCAACACGTCTAAGCTATATGTAATATTTATTTTTCTATCAATAGTTATAAGTGTGTATGAATACTGTGTAAATTGTCATATCACCTTACACGATTAAATCACTTTAAAAAAAAATCAGTTCATATGAAATATTAAAAACACTTAGGTATAACGATAATTAAAAATCACAGCAGTTAAATTCACTCACGATGTTTGCGTACATATCGCATGACTAACACTGACCAAATACATATTCTAATAAGCAATGACAATCGATTATGACGCAATGCGTAAAGTACCGTTTACGTGATTTATTAATAACCCACAGACGATAAAGTACATTGCGTTGTTTTTAAAGGTTTTTGCATAGTCTTTTTAATAAAAGGTTCATTGTATCTCATCGTGTTTAGATTTCAAGGACACGTACATTTTTATTAAGTATTTTAACAATGGTATCGTTTATCTTTATATGTATTTTTTATATAATTATTTAAAAAATTGCATTATATGTTTATTTTTAATTTGTTAACAAAGAATTTGTTTCGATCTTTAAATAAAGGAGTCTTTGATATTACATTATTTTGTTTAATTATGAGAAAAACTGGGCTCAATTTTTGTTTAAAGTGATAGCGATAGTAACTTCTCTATTTATATAATATGTGTGCATTAACCAAAAGTTAATCAGGTAAGACTAACATTATTAGTTCCTAATTAATATTGATATATTAATTAATATAAAATCAGTTAAATTCTCCCAAGCATCAAACATTTAGAGCCAAAATTCCGCGTCATACCACAAACATTTATATTGGCAAACGAGTAGCTAAATAAAAAAAAAATACAAAAAAATTTTATATAAAAAACAACAGTATAGAAACAGCCTTACCTTCAACGCCTTAGCGGCCTGTTCGTGTGTGGCATGCGTAATATCAGTGTCATTAACGGCAAGCAAACGGTCCCCTCTGCGTAATTCGCCCGATCTTTCCGCGGGGCCCCCGGCAAGGAGAAACGAGACATATATCCCGTGGCCATCTTCACCCCCTACTATGTTGAACCCTAGGCCCTGGGTTCCCTTCTCAATATCCACCACACGGGGCTCCTCGGTACTATCCGTAACGTCCTCGCGTCGCAGCGAATTTGTCGTACTCGATGTTGGGCAGGCTGATTTAAAAATTAAATAATGAGGGTAGTTAGTTTGTTCAAGAATACGTTGGTTAACTTTTTAAATATTATTATGTTTCTGTGATAATTTGTAATCGTATCTTATTAAAGGATTATTTGAAGGGTCTGACAAGGTCGGGTAAGATTTAGAAACGAGATTTAGCGCCAAGTTTGACTCTCGTCGCCATCTTCCGGTTAGTCCTTGTTGGTGAAATGAGTTGTGTACATTTCTAAACTGGTATTGTAAATTAATTCTTCTCAAACCAGCGCCATTTCTCTGTAACGTCTAATATCGATTTCGCTGCAGTTCTCTCAGTATTCGTAGCGCTGATGACGCAACCTTGGAATAGGCACAAAAACTCAACAATCGGGAATACAATCGCTTTTGGAAATCACTGAATACCGGCACAGGACGTGTTGCCCATTACTATATAAATATACTAGCAGACCGGCCAAGCGTTGCTGTGGCTAAGGTTTTTGTTATATTACATAGTAGCAAACTATTCAAGGGAAACGGTAGGAGAACACCAGTCATGGGGACAACCATGCTTTTTTGGTGGTTATGCAATTAAATTGTAGCTTATGTGAAACGTTGGTACTTTCAACACAGCGCCATCTGTTAGAATTGTGTCAAATAATAAACAAATAATTTGAAATACATTGCGAGTATAAATCGAGATGTAAGCTATCCTATCTTTTAAGTTGGATCAAACTACACACGGTGTGCAAATTTGATTGATATCGGTTCGGTAGTTTAGGAGTCCATAGCGGACAAACAACGTGACACGTAATTTATATATATTAAGATTAATCAATTAATAATCCTATGATTATAAACATTTTATTGCAAATACTCACGTGTATTAGCTCTCGAGGTTCTAGGTGAAGGCTGTCCATGTCTTGGTCCCGGAATGAGTACTAAGAGAACTCGTTCACCAGACGCTTTAAGCGCCGCCACGGCATCTTCATGGGTCACGTTGTCAAGATTTACATCGCCTTTCTGAAAATATGGCACTGTATAGTAAAAGTAAAATGCGAACTGCAATATTTCAGGCTTTATAGAGACCACCAACCGAAGTCGAGTAAGTTCGACGTTCGCTCAAATAAGACTACATAATGTTATCATTGTTTATATTCCTTATATAATTCAACTTTTATTATTATTATTTATTTATTCAGATAAAATAATCCATCATTAAGTTATAAATAGTATTTTTTTTGAATTTGCCGCGCTTTTTCGTTATCTTCTTTCATTAGCCAGACTAATACATCTACTATATGCTTATGGGCTAAAAACCGTCGTTTTCACTGTACCTAGTGTATTTTTAAAATATTTATAAGACCGTAACTTAAAGACAATCAATTCTCAAACAAATTTATTTTACTCATTTAAAATACAATAGATACAACTCACCGAAGTATTTTTGACCATTAACAGTTTGTCTCCAACCCTCAAGCGTCCATCTCTATGGGCAGCTCCACCAGACATTATTTTGGTCACATATATACCATTATCCCCTGGTATATGCTGGTTTCCAAGACCCCCCGCTATGCTAAATCCTAGCCCTGAACCACCCTTAACAAGTTCTATTTCAACAGCTTCTTCCTTATTTGATATTTGTGACACGCTCAGGTGATCTGATTCTCCCGCTCGTCGTTTCACTTTCTGTATAAAACATTGTTTTTAATATTAATAAGCTGGTGCATTCCTCTCTCAACTTAATTTTCTATTTATCAATTTTTAATAATAATTATTTCAAAATATGTACTATGTTTGGTAAGAATATTGTAAATACTATTACTATATTCTTATTAATTTTATAATATTGAATATTGGAAATTTAATATTAATAAGTGTTACTTAATTATTTTTAATAAATTTAATAAACATTTATTTATGTTATTACAAAAGCTTTAAAACTTTTTTAGTAAATGGTAATTTTTCAATAAAAAAGCGAAATCTTTTAAAAGTATAATTACCAGTCGGACTGTATTGCCGGCTTTTTTCAATGCGTCTACTGCCTCAGCATGCGTCACGTTTTCCACATTCGCGTCGTTAACCTGAATAGGATAAGAAATTTAAACCGTGTTATTTGTATTTACTCAATATTTGCATGCTTTGAATGTACACTAATATTATAAATCTCTTTAAATTATGTATAACTCAAATCACTTAAGTAGTCATGAAATATTAAATTAAGTCTATTAAATTTTTATGCATTTAATTACAAAATATAAATTTTGTCTTTATACCTAGAAGCATACAGACAGTATCTTATATATAAAACCTTAGCTATCATATTTGACATAGACAGTTCCATATCTATTAATTATTCATCACAGGAAGAATTAAAACATAAATAATAGGTTAATTGGTATAAATATTTTTAATAATAAGAATAACAAGAACCTACTTGTAATATAGCATCATTGATTTGCAGCTGACTAGCTGCCGCTGCTCCGCCAGGAATGAGCTTAGTGACATAGATATGGGGATTATCTGCCACATGGGGATTGTCAGAACCTCCAGCAATGCTGAATCCGAGTCCAGCACCGCCAGCCCTTGATAAAACCACTGTCAGGTACTGGTGGCCATCTTCACCTGTCACAGCACCCCCCTCAATCCCATTTACCTGTAACTGTCAAATGAATTTTATATGTATTTTGGCTATATAATTTATCTCAATAATAAAGAATTCTTTAGGAATACAATTGACTAGAAGTATCATGGCAATAAATCATACATTCTGTGTTGCCATCCAAAAGTTTGACAAATAATTAAATTATCTTCTTTCATTAGCCAGACTCTAGTAATAAATGAAAGAAAAATATAAGAATGTTGTTTTACACCATTTTCCTTTAACTCAATGAATACTATGAATTTATAGGATGCTAATAGTGTGACTATTAGCACTTACACACAAACAACCAATTATTACTCTCAGCTAAATTATTGTTTTGATTATTAAATAAAGATAAAAAATTGATACATGCTTAGATTGCAGGGCTCTTATGTTACGACTTGATTATTTAAATTTTCCTTAGAATATTTTATTATGTTACCTGCTTCATTTCTGGCGAGGAAACATGAGCCTGAAAACAATACACATCATTAAGTTCATATTCTTACAACATACTTGAATCTGGTAATCTACACCTTATGACAGTAATAAATCAATACTTTTTCATTGTTTACTGTTATAATGTAACTGCGGGTTCACACATGATGATGGAATGCATTGTTTGAATTCAACTGTATTATTAAGATCCAGAATGATTACTATAATGATTGATATTTATAATCATATTCCCTCATGATGTATTAATGTTTTTTTTTTATGTGCTGTTAATTGAATTTTACCCAAAAATTTAAATAAAAATAAATACCTATACAAATTGTTTTGTTTACCTTGTTATTAAAATCTGATGATTAGTAGAATGGTTTTAAATTTGAATACAAAAATGACCATGAACATCTTATTTCATCATATAGGTAAGCTTGGTTGAGTAAAGTATTAACAAGTAAACATATTCATGGCCAATTGGCCAAGTACAGTACAATAAACCTACTTACCGTGTCAAGATTAAATAAGGATGACACTTTTCGAAGGAATCCATTATGGGTTTTTTTCTTCCGTCTTTCAGTCATTTTGTTGACCAGTGTGTCTCAAAACTTGTATTTTTGCACTACAATATGTACACAGCATGCATTGTTAGTTACACACTTGTGACTGCTGTCAGCATCTTACTGGACGATCTCTGACATGCACCATTATTTACCTAGAACCCATTTCTAGCTTACACCAAAATACTTTATTATCCACATCCTAAATATTTGCACAAAGTCCCACTGCGTAAGCTGATTATCTTGTTAGATCCATTTTGAATTGCACCAATCCTTATCTAATTACATGAGCCTAGCCCTTTTATGATAGTGTTTATTAGAGTATGGATATGTAGTTAATTGGTTATCAACTTGTAGTCAATGATGATATGGAATAGTATGAATGTCAAAGCGATGAAGTTTAATTAGAACGTCCGTGTTACGTTATTTATGTGCAATAGAGACCACTTTAGTATCATTTGAGTCTGAAGTATTTATTAAATCAATCAGCTAGTAACAGCTAGCGAATTTTAACAAGCAAAACTATCCTATAAGTTGCATTAGTCTCACCCAAATGGTTGAAATCGTTCCCAAATTATCAAGAAATTACTAAATGTTTAAAAATAGATTAGTGTACATTATATGGCCTTACTTGAGACGGGTACGAAATAACAGCAGTAGGTACAGTTGTGTGAATGTCAAAATTTTACGTGCAATAACATTTCACTGGATAACGTATATGTGCAGTTTTCAATAGGCTTTAGTTGATATAGCGTTCGTTTGATATTGGCACAGTCGTGAAGTTTATCAGCACAAATCCACAGAACGAACAAACGTTAGTATACATATCGCTGAAAACTAGAACTGTGTTGTAGGTTATAAATAGTACTACGAGACGCGAAGCACCAACGATCCGCCATTAGAGATTTTTCGTAGTTTCACTACTTTAATATAACTTTGTAGACCTCACGTCATTTAAAAGATCAAAAACTGAAAAGGTGTTTAAGAAACCCAACCATCTAAACTGAAAACTAAAACTTTGATGTTAGAAATTGCGCTTGCGCCATTTCTCATTGCAGTTTGCAAGAATGACGTTGTACGATGTACGGTATACGTATTTACTAAGATAGTTTGAAGTTTTTGCCCTAGATGGCTCTGAATGACTGATTTAAACAGTGCATATGCGCTAAACTGCAGTTGACCTCAACAGTCCACAGAATAAGAAAAGTTCAAGAACTTGCAACATCGATATCCGACTTATGTACAATAAATATATCGGTGTAAAAATAAAAATGATTAAAAAGATATAAGGGAATCTTGGAAAGCAAAGCACATATGCACATAAATAGTTATATTATTTTGTCGGTCTGTATTTAAAATATGTTTACTAGTTAATACGTTTACGCTTTTCAACCAATTGTCTTGAAGGAACCCTTTAGACTAATAAACAATAACAAAAGAGCTACCTTCTTTTCATCCGTGTCTGCACTCGGTGATATGATTGTAGTCGGCACTGTCCCCATCTGCTAAAATATTATTAGATAATAAGAACTATTTATAATTAATTTTTTTTAAATAAAGCAAGTTAAATTACCACTCAACTGGCTTTTAAAGCCAGTCATTGACAAAACTCGTTTAACAATATAAGAAATGGCATTGTCACTATTAAGCTGCCTCTACCAGGCTGATCGGCCAAGGGATAAAAAAAATACCTGGGCATTGTAAAATTCTAAAGAAATCTTTTTTGTAAATTTTTACAATTATTTTTAAACATTAATACTACACAGCAATGACTACTACGTCAGTAAGGCCCATTTACACGATGCCATTTTCTTGCCGGAGAAAAAAAATTTTTCCCCCCCCATAAAGATGCTGGTTAATAACATTCTTGATCAATGGGAAAAGTTTCCTTTCAATAATTACTCTGCGGACAGTATTTTGGTAGTATGTATCTGGAAATTTTATAGTACGTTTTTTCATTGTATCGTAGAACGGTAGTAGGTACCTATTACAAAATAGTGTACAAACCTTCGCTGAATCCGGAGTGTCGACATTCCGTTCCGGTTTTCTATTGTCCTGGAGAAAGGCATTTGATACTAATCTGTATTCACTTTCATCATTTGGAATCTATATTAAATAATAGAAAACATTTTGAATAATACCAATTTAGACTTTATATATATTTTAAAATAGGTAAATACAAAGACGTAAATGCTATAACCAGTTTTTTTTGTTTATTGGCCATGTTCGTCTTGTACAACCCAACTAGGTGATTAGTCTTTGGCTCAGATGTAGGTCGATTTTAGATCTATGACATTTCACGCGATATTTTGATATGACCATAGTTTTTATTTTTAAACTCACTTCACGACGAACTCCATCCGTTTCCCATTTGTTGGCGATACGTATAGTTTCTACCGTCTTTTGCTGAATCGATTTGTTGTCATCAAGTAGAGTGAGCTCATAGAATTCTTGAATATCTGCAATTATAATTAAAATAATTAGGTCTCTGCAGAACCCAAATGTGATGTCTTTGTCCTCCAGTCCAGTATTATACGGACTGTCTTTGTCGACTGATGATCTGTAAATCTAAATTAAACAATAATTCGGCTTTACAATTGAATTAATTGTTTGCACTTCAAATTGCTACTTACTTTATATCAGTAAGTTAACAAGTGTTTCGACCATACCGCCTAGTCTAAGTTTGTAACAGTGAAATAGAAACAATGAAATAAATAGACAAGAGGTTGAGAAAACAGACACAAAATGTCCCTCTTACAATATAGTGGTAAAGCGACCTTTTTATAAATTTTATTAAATAAAATTACAAGGACATTTTAACACAGCAACTATGTTATATCCCACGGCTGCTTGGCAAATCGCGTGAGTGTTAAAATCGATATTGAGAACGGCCAGTAACCCCACGAAATTTTTTATTTTCAGGTTATGCTAATCAAAGCAAACATCCGACGTCTGATTAATAATACGCTTTGAATATTAACTAGAAGTGATTCATCAATACTAATGTAAGTTAAGAAGACCTAACAGAAGTTAATAATAATCCAGTAACCCTTTAGTAATTTTTTTTTTTAAATCTTGTAATTTTCTTTTAAAATCAATTATATGGTAGGGGTTCGAACACTCAACCTCGTAGGTTTAAAGACCCTAGGGCTAGCTAACACGACTCTAATAATAGATAGTATTAAATTTTTTACTCGTCAAAATAAACGTGATATTTTAAAGGCGATCAAGAAGCGAGCTTAAAAATGAAACATAAGCTATATTTGCCTTATCTTCATTTTTGAATCAAGTGTTCTAAAAAGAACTTTAGTCTTAAAAGCTCTCGTTCCTGAAGTGGTTGTCTCATCATCAAAAAAATATTCCAATAATCATTAATTGAAGAACAGAATAAGAAACCCCTTCATTGTAAGGCTTCTAAGCTTAAGACAGTATTGTCGCTGAAGGTGTCTAAACGACACGATCGAACAAATAAAAAAGGGTGCGTTTACTTATGTACGCGCGTAAGAAGTTATACTTCTGTGGCATTATTAGCAATAGTTTTTGATTGCATGCAAATAATTAATTACAATTAAATAATCAAAGACTGGAAAAGGAGTCATTATAGTCAATAAAGTTCAGTTTACATTTAAAAAATTAAATAAATAAATATTTATTATTATTCTCTTACATTAGGTGTAACATAAATTCTATTATAATTCGAATGTTGTTTTTAAATTATGTCCAATGCCGTAGCATCTTCCGTGGGCAACTTCATTCTGTTAATTTTGTGTCACGGTGCGCGCGCATCGTAAAATTTCACTCTCATAAATTTTTCATAACGCGCCTAAAGAAGTATAATTTCAATAATACATGGGTAAATGTATAAATAAATATATGAAAACCTAGTTTGCATATTTGCACTATCTCCGTGTTATGATGATACGATTTCCTCAGGATGTTTGCTTTCACCGTAGGAGCAAGAGTAAATTGCGCACATACTTAATATGAAAAATCCATTGGTGCTAAGTCGTGATTCGAAAGCTCGACCTCAGTGTTGAGAGTCTCATCCTTAATCCACTAGGACACTGCTGGTTTGGTTATATGTGTTAGATATTAAGCCACGGAGGCGGTGTAAATACTACTGGTATTATAATACGTAAACGAATAGTTACCCACATAATATTAAAAATACCCAAAATTTACATTTATTAATTGCGCTGTATTCCAGCATTCTTGGTAACAGATGGATTCGCAATTAATTAAAATATCGAAGTAGGTTAAATACAATTAATACCTTTAATCGGTCTTATTAAGGAAGTTCCTTAAATATTAACTCATAATTTAATTAATTACATTCTAACACTTAGCGATGAAGCATTTATGTCCGAACATATTTTCATAATTATTTTAGTAAAAATGTATGTTATATTAACACATAAAATGTCAAGAAGGAATAATATAAAATATTTCTACCACAAATGTAACCATGTATTACGATAAATGCTCCGATTTAAAATGTATCTATACCTGCATCATAATGAAACTAAAAAGTGTACTCACAAAGTTCAAATTAAAATTGCAACCAACTTCAAAAGTTGCGATGCATGTTTCTAGAGTTCTTCATTATCAGATTCCATTTGTCCATTAAACAGTGTTATTAAAATATCAATTGGAAATAGTTGAACACGAACGAATTGTGTCGACATGCCGTTCCACGTATGATTGAAGGTACCCAGTAACCTATGACCCGTATAAGAATAACTAGGTCACATTCTACCAATAATGTCCATGTTCATGTATTTAAACTCAAAGTTGCGTGAAATCGCTCAACCACTTACCTTTTGTAATATAACTAACATATTGTAGAACCCTAAGAACTATAAAAAAAACCAGTAAGCTCTTAGGTCTGGGCTTCAGATTTCTATATCTGTTTTGGAAATATTTGTTTTTCTAATAGACAAGTAGGTGATTAGCCTTCTGTGCCTGACACACACTGACTTTTGGGGTTTAGCGCCCCGTTTTGTGCACGATGCTTTTACGAGTGTTAAATGCGCACAAAGACAGAAAGTCAATTGGTGACAGGAATTAGAGTAGTATTATATCAAAACTGGCTGAGAACTCTCCAACGGGTTATAAAACACACATTTAGCAGTCGATTTAAATCATTTGACCAAGGCAAATTTTAAATCGGGGTTAAACCACTATATAGCGCCTACAATAATTATAGAAGCAAATGTTGTTAACTAATTTTTAAACATAGATGAGAATCGAACAAAATTCATGTATTACATTCTAAATATACTATGTATTACAATAACAGTGTCGTGGTCAAGCACAAACAAAACTCAAGAGCGATTGTGACGTAAAATGCGGTCACGCGCACGTATTGAGTATTTATAGCTAACTGATACGAAAACTATTTAGTTCATTATTAGAGGAAGTACACCTTCCATTGCCCAGTAATATCATATAATTTTGTTTATATTAACGCGAGCTTCCTTCACTTAAAAGAAAACATACTTTTGACGGATTTAAATACATTCGTATGTTATAATTACCCGAAAATTTTAGAATTAATTATACAATTGTGATATTTAAATTAGTTTATTTATTATAGTGATCATCACAGTTGATTACGGATAAAATAGGCTAACACGTGAACCTTCGGAACAATTTTTTTTGTAAGAATTTACATTTCTTTTATACGCGTTTTAGTTTTGTTGAACTTTTTTTCTTTTATTGTGCAAGATCTAGGGCACACAAGTGTGCTATTTGCCTAAATTAACTCATATATATATATATCATGATTACTAAAACAATACTAATTCTAACTGAAATGAATGAAACTTAATTTTAATAAATTTGAGTGTGATATCTATTTGCTAAAATACAATATCGTCCTAATGTATCTAGATTATAGAGCTAATCCGCTTTCCTTCATTGTTTATATATATTATACTTTACATTATTTTCTAGAATTTTTGTAACATGGAAATAATTTGTATCTCATGTGTTGTTAATATTTTATTTTATGTTTAATAAATATGTATTAGAAACACTTACCAAGAAGTGCCTGAAAAAGGCGTGATTTAAATATTCTGATGACTCTTTCGATAGCGAGACGAAGCTGACGATCTTGAGGCTTTATGAGTTTGCTATGGTAGTCCTCAAGCAATTCCAATGCTCGGTGGGCTTCTGAAAATATAACAATATGAGTATTCCAAGATTGCATACCTGCAAACAACGGTAGTGAATCGTAATTGCGTAGCTAACATATTTTAGTGCACAAAGTTTTAGCGGCCGATTTTTCTAGTGACAATCTTTCTAGTGGCCATGGCAACTATCGGACGAATCATACACAGAGAGTAATAAATCAATAAAAATAAATCTCTACATGAAAACGTAACGCAAGAGGAACAGAAAAGTGTAGAAGTAGTATTTCTGGAAGACATTTAGAAGGTGGATAGACCAGATTAAGGAAAGAGCAGGTGGTACATGGCAGACAGGAATGGCGGGATTTAGGATTTTAGGAGGCCAAAAAGATCACACAGATATTTAAAAAGTAATGAGATGATAGAAATATAAATGTGTTTAAGTGTCAAAGTATCTGAAATAAAAGGCTATTTATTATTATTATTCCACGAAAACGTACTTAATACCTAAGCCGGAGTTTTATATGTAAAATTAATCGTAATTGCTACGAGTTGTTTCGTAATTGTTAAATGGGATGTATGCAGCCGGTATCGTTTCTAAAGGTAATAAGCTCGAAATAGTACAAAATGTAGGTTTTATTTTTTACCGTAATGTGACTTTTTAAAAGCATCGCGGCATTAGTCGTCCTTCATAGAAATAGTTCACGATAAGAACGTACCGATGACATACTTTTTAATTGTACTCGGACCTCCGTGGTGTCGTTGGTATCGCACACGATGATGATCCGCTCGAATGTCTCAGATTCAATTCAAAGTAAATTGTGTCGTTCTGCGACAGCTATATGGCATATGTACCATGTAAGTGTCTTAATGGAATGTGACGAGATTTTATGACTTGTATGTACTATATTTAATAATACTTACCCTTTAATATGACAGTTTTATTTATTTTATTTTTAAACGTGTTAACAACAATTTGTGAACTGGTTATACAAAAATCGCGGATCGCTACTAGTTAGTTCGTGTTTTTTTTCTATTTTCCGAATGGCCAATTAAGTGAACCAGCTGACCCATAGCTAACACTCTATAATTTGTGAAAACAGAACCGCCAAGTAAGCAACAAAATAATTGCCCCGTTATACATTTTTAATAGTTATTGATTCCGATTTTGCAGTTATCGCATCATTCGACCTAGAACTGATTTTTGTTATTCATGAGAATAGTCGTCGTTCATTACTTAGAGCCGTAAAATTGCTCAAGCGTTATTACAACTTATAACAAGAAAAACTTATTACAGTAAAACATTTATAATAAAACACAAAAATGCCCTTTTTCACTAATCTCCAATTCAATAATATTAAAAAGCTGTACCGAAGAGACCGGCAACAATGTAATGTAAAATTACGATTTGTTTAGTTTGTTGTCCGTACTTTCATAGATATATTTTTTGCAAAACGGGGGATGACCGTCAGAGCAACCGTGATACAACATTACTTTGTGCAATGTAAAATACAGCTTAACTGAAAGGGATAAAGATAACATTACAATATATGAGAATTCAAATAATATAGCAACAATATTTCTCCCTTATTTTTTAAAGCGTGTTATATTTAATTTAAAAATAATCATGGGTAAACATGTATTTAGTATTAGTTTAAATCTAGGTTGACCCTGATCACAATAGAAGACCTTTATATTACAGTTCATAGCGTAACCTAATAATCCTATACCCTATATATATACCCTAATTTTATGATACATATTTACACTATGGTAGTATTTGAATAGACCCTGTAATTCTATGTCATAATAGTTGATTGGACATACGATAATATGACTTGAAACCACACAATCCCTCAAGCAGCTGCAGCGTCAGTTAATAATCATAGCTTTAAATCTGTAATAGCCTGTTTGCTAAAAACTTTGTAGTAAATATTAGTCCCTAATTAAAGAACAATATTTTTTATAAGCATATTCACCTTGCTTTCGAACTGGCATCACGATACCGCCCCCTAACGTAATATTGTAACACTAAGAATATATTTTACGACTAAAACGTATTACATAGGACAAGAAATAATCGCGATTAATTTCACAATTTCAATCACAGACGAATACATTTCCACGGCACATATGGTCCCATAACAAAAACATTAAAAATTATTAAAACGATGCCCTAAAATATTTGCGGTAGTGATTCCGCTTACGAGGGCCGTCTAGCACTGTTCTCGATGGGATTGGTCGATTTTCAGTGTGACGTCATAGGGTTGAAGCATAGACAATATTGTGTATTTGTAAGGGTAGGGGAGAAAGTATAGGGGCTGTCGCCACTACTACGTTGTGTCGCATGACCGCATTGTGCACTTTGTATTGAGTGAATGCCCTGAGGATTTTGATGTTCGCCTGAAGCAAACTCAAACTGAAGCACTATGATTTTAAAAATACAAATCTATAAGTACTAATTCTGACAAATAGTACTACGATAAGGAAAAAATATAGCCTTTACACATAAGCAAATGTAAATAAATCTTTGATCTTTTTTTTATTGATTGAACGATGAAATAAAATATAAATTGGTTTTTACCTAATTAAAACAGCTTTGATGCTGAAATATAATAATTCAAATAATTTTGTTAGGAATTTAAAGAAAAAAAGTTAGTTTAGTTTTTTAATATAATTTCCATATAATGCTTAAGCCCACTCTTTATATTATATATCGATCATTATAATTTACCTTATGATCATATCACACATTTGCTCGACTTTTACTTCTTGGCGCGAAATTCTTATTTTTAGATAAGAAATATTTTTTCAAGTTAAATCGGAATACACATAATTCTATTATTTAATTTTAAAATATGTAATTGTAATTGTGGTTTCGAATTTCTTATCGAAGATAGCAGAATCGCACTTGTCGAAAGTATATTTTTGACGTTATACTTCTGTAGGCGCGTTATGAAAAATTGATGATAGTGAAATTTTACGATGCGCGCGCACCGTGACACAAAATTAACAGAATGAAGTTGCCCACGGAAGATGCTACGGCATTGGATATATTTGAAAACAACATTCGAATAATAATAGAATTTATGTTACACTTAATGTAAGAGAATAATAATAAATGTTTATTTATTTAATTTTTCAAATGTAAACTGACACCTTTTCCAGTCTTTGATTATTTAATTGTAATTAATTATTTGCATGCAATCAAAAACTATTTTTTATAATTCCAAAGAAGTATAACTTCTTTTTTTTTTTTTTTAGTTAATATAGGTAACCCATAAATTATTATTTAACTGTGACTGACTGTCGTGACGCCTTTTGTCAATTGCCAGATGTCACCTAGGTAAAGGTTTTGGTAATCCAATCGGACATCACCATTCACTCATCTAACAAGTAACATCTTTGATCTTTCAATTTTCATCTTTCATCTTTGTTCCAACTTCCAATGGTTCCACATAGCGTAGTATTGAAGTAGTGTATTTTAATAATATCACTGTGTAGTGCGTGTTGGGCTAAACGATGCCTCTATTTGGAAAAAAGGATTTTGGTAGAAAGTCAAAAAAGGATGCGAAAGAATCAGATAAGCAGCCATCCATTGAGGACAAGTATGTTGTAAAAGACCTTTTAGGAACAGGCGCCTTTTCCGAAGTACGATTGATAGAGAGTAAGGAAAATGGACAGCTGTTTGCATGCAAAATTATAGACAAAAAAGCTTTAAAGGGTAAAGAGGATTCCTTAGAGAATGAGATCAGAGTTCTCAAAAGATTTAGCGAGAACGCAAAGGCAGATGGTGGAGAGAAGAAAATGTTTTCACACCCTAATATCGTACAGCTGCTTGAAACATATGAAGACAAAAATAAAGTTTATCTAGTAATGGAACTCGTTACTGGTGGTGAATTGTTTGACAGAATCGTTGAAAAGGGTTCATATACTGAAAAAGATGCGTCAAATCTTATCAGACAAGTTTTAGAAGCAGTGGATTACATGCATTCTCAGGGAGTAGTCCATAGAGATTTAAAACCTGAAAATTTACTATACTACAGTTCTGATGAAGATAGTAAGATTATGATTAGTGATTTTGGTCTATCGAAAATAGAAGATTCAGGCATAATGGCAACAGCTTGTGGAACACCCGGTTATGTGGCTCCAGAAGTATTAGCTCAAAAACCATATGGCAAAGCAGTTGATGTATGGAGCATAGGTGTAATATCCTACATATTGCTCTGTGGATATCCACCTTTTTATGATGAGCAGGATTCAAACTTATTTGCACAGATTCTCAAGGGTGATTTTGAGTTTGATTCACCCTACTGGGATGATATAAGTGAGTCTGCAAAGGACTTTATCCGACATCTTATGTGTGTGGATGTTGAAAAAAGATACACTTGCAAGTAAGTACTCCTATTTTTGGCAACTAAGGTTGTGTTACTTTAAAGAAAAAAGTATGATTGCTAGAAAGTTTATATTTAACTTACTCATTCTTAGGTATTATTATATTATCCTTATGATAATTAAAATAATAATATGTATTGATATTTCGTGTCGAATATTAAGTTGTTAATCAATATGACCTTCAAATTACATTTAATGTACATGTTAATTTTTTTCTAAATTTTTCTCATATACATTTTATAATCATTATATTACAAAATATTTGTTGTAAAACAATTTATAACAAATATTTATTATTAAGCATAGATTTACCTACACTTCATCATTTTATAGGGCAAGTATGTGATTTAATGATCATCTAAAAACCAAAGGCTTTCTATTGCTTTCTGTTCCAAGCTACAGTTATTTTAGTGTTGGAAAACAAATCAGGCATTTACACTATGTGTACCACTGTTAAGACACAATTAAGCTGCAGAGTCAGTTTTGAATATTTTTTTCCTCTTTTATCAGACAAGCTCTGGCCCATCCATGGATATGTGGTAATGAAGCCAGCAGCAAGAACATCCATGGTACTGTGTCAGAGCAACTCAAGAAGAACTTCGCTAAATCCCGTTGGAAACAAGCATACCATGCGACAACTGTTATCCGTCAAATGCAGAAACTTATGATACTTAATAGCAGTAGCTCAAGTCGCAACACAAATGCCCCAACTAAGTCTCAAAATCAACAGCAGTAATCGTCATTAAAAAGGTACTTATTATGGCTGAGATTTCCTATATATATATATTATTGGCCAGTAACTCAACTGTCATATATTTGAGATTTTCTTCATTAAATGTCTTCTTTAACAAATTTTTCAAGGTTATGTTACTACTTATGTACTTCATAAATAAATTTTATGTAAATCTCAGCCATGCTTTGAATATTTAAGTTAAAAGGATAAACTTATCTTGATACTTAATATGCTAAGATTTGAAGTGTTAATTGAAACTTTAATTAATTGCACTACATTGAATGACATCATTTTAATGAAAGAAGTTAAGGGTGTCAAATTAATCAATGAAGTATAATGGTATATTTTTAATTGACTAGTCAGGATATTCATTAATACCGACACTAAAACTTAACAATTATTCAACTTATAGTTTACTAAAATTTCCTTGCCTCTTACAGTTAATACGGTTAAATAGGGAACTAACAAATGTATGCTGTACTTGAACAACTATACAGCCATTTTATGTTTACTTAATAGTAAAGAAACCCTTTTTATGGCTTTATGATATCAAAACCGGCTTTTCGTTAAACCAATATTTGTTTACCTTCATTGTCATAAGATGTTTCTATTTAGAATCTCATTCTTAAACACCTAAGTTCTATATAGAAAATACCAAAGCTAATTGCTATGAGGTGTAAATTTTCTTAAGAAGAAGTCCACTTACAACCATTCTTCTCTATAGAAAATTTGATATAGAACCTAGGCATTAAACATGTCAGTTAAATGATGAAGTCCATGTGAGTGCTTTACTGAAAATGTGTAATCATAGCTGATATAAAGTTTTAACTATATAACTATTATATTATAGGTAGATTGTCTTCTCTTTAGGATTCTAATCTTGTTACACTTATTAATAATAAATGGTGATTATCAATTTCAATTTTTAGGATTGTTGCGGATGTTGTTAATATAAAGCAAATTATCAAATAATGTTAACTTGAAAAGGCTTAAAATATTTCAACGGTTTTGAATAAAACGGTGCTTCAGAAAGAACTTAAAGAAAAATAGTTTATAGTTTTGACATGGGATGTTGTGATAACCTGATAGTCACTGCTAGTTGATCACAAGGCACCTAGATGTGTAATTTTAAAAGCGTTTAATTTTAAAGTGTGAAGTTGTATACCTTCTTTAAGTCTTTCTGAATTATCCATCTTGTCTAGAGGTTTTGTTGCATTATTTTTATTGTTGGAAATTAATCAAATGGGCTATATTTTTATTTAAAAGCAGTTTGTTAATTGTTTTGCTACTATATGTGATGTTAGCTAAAATTTCATTTGCACCTTGCATGTCAGAAAAAGCCTTGTAAGGTAAAATTGAAAACCCCTAAACTGATTATATTGGATCTGGATTATGTGTACTTGATTTTTGCTACTTATGAATTTTTATTTGACAATTTTTATTGGAATTCAATATATTATGGTACATTTGTAAGCCCTATATAATAATCCTATATATTATAGCCATTAAAAGGTATATTATGCTTAATATAGATTGTAAGTTTTACTACTTATTCTAAAACTGAATCCTTCCTATCTCTAGAGATGAATACATGATTCAAGTAAATAATATATGATATATACCTATTGCACTGTTGGATTCAATGTTGTCTTATAATACTCTTCTATGACTATGATAGAATTATGCATTTCATCTGGGCCTAAAGAATGTTAATGCCATAGCTGGATACTCCTTAGGGAGCGTTCAAGTATTACGTAAAAAATTTGGGGGTCCTTTTGTAAAACGTTACGATGCGGGGCGGGGATTGAATTACGCGTTATTGTTAATATTATTTTCGACTTTCCAGTACTTTAGTTTAGTAGTTAGAGTCACTAGGTGGTCACAAAACGTTTTAGTATACTTGGGTACAGAAAAACGTTACGGCGCGTTACATAGGGGGGGAATCAATAATCTCCAAAAATTGCGTGACGTAATACTTGAACGCTTCCTTAGCTGAATGACAAATTGCTATAACCATTAGCAAAAATCATTGTTTTGTCAAGCAGTCTTTGTACTTCAAGGAAACAAAAGTAAATTTAGTAAAAAACAACAACAGCCTTCTAGTGTCTGCCTCTTATATTGCAAATTGTATAGAAAGAACACATCAGTAGGGAAAGTATTTTTAAATATCTGTCTAAGACTGAAAATATAAATTTTATTATTTGAATCTTTAACATATTCTATTCATATTATCGAAATAAATCAAGTCAGTAGGTTGAAATATTTAAAAATATCTAGGTGGGTTCACAAAATGTGATCAAAGTTGTGATAATTGTTACTAATGAGCCTGTATCCCTTCAAATGTTCAACATAGTTAATTCTCACCTTAATGATTTTTTAATGCATTTCTTGTTTATTCCTTCAAATTCTGATAGCTCTCTTTATTATAATATCATGACAAAATGGATCTTATATATTCTGACCATTGAATCTCATTTTTTCTTATTCCTTAATATTATCTTAACTAACACAAATAAATTGTTTATAATTATAATATTTTTAAAATATAAAATTTATGAAGAATTAGAATTGTCAAGTTTATTTTGATATAAAATTTTACTATTTTCTGTATTAAACAACATTCCTCTAATAATCTTATTGGTATTTTAAAAACATTCCATGACTTTAATTATTAAAATTATCATCCAATTAAATGTTTATTGTATTGTTTATAGGTATTCTATAGTATTTGTGAAATTAATTTGTGGCTTGAATCAATGTATACTTTATGGCCATTATGATAATGTCTGAATGTGTGCCATCATTAAAGCCATATTTACTGAATAATATTTTATTTAACTATAAACGTAATATATATTCAACTTCTTTTGTTTTTTTTAATGTAGTATTAAGTTTTTGTCATTTCTTATGTGCATACATTTTATAATTATATTTAAAAAAAAATTTCTTTAACAATATAATGCAAGTGTCTATGTGATTTAATATCTTTAATGATACGTTGTTTATGTATTAAAATCTGTAGTTTATTATTGGATAACCTTTAGCCTTGTTATTATTATAATAGTTTTGTAAGCGATTACGCGCTCAGTACAATTATTTGAATATGAGATTTTTGTAACTTGCCAATTTTAAGTAAACACTAAATACTGCATATTAATGATTATTTTGGTGAATTTGTTAAACAATATCATTAACTCATAATCGTGATAAATTTAAAAGTTATGAAACAAAAAATTATATTTATAAAATTATGTTTAATTAGAGATTCTCGGTTAATACGATGGCATTTCACGTTTCTTTTAATAACCAAACTGAAATTTCGATTTATTAGACGTTTTTTCTTAAAATATGACAGAATTTTGTTTCTACTTTTTTTCTATACAGCTTATATAAGAAATTATCTAATGCTAAATATAATTAAGGTCTCGCCTTATGTCTAATGTTTAAATAAGAGCTGTTCTAAATGTTTGTGAATTCTTATTCTGGATGCTTCATTTCTTTTATTTAATAAAATATTGAGCACAATGGTTTTGCATAGGGAATGTTTATGGTCTAAGATCCCGATATACAACGACCTTCACCGAGATGCTTATTTAATGAAACGTATTTTATGTCAATAAATATAATCCATATGGGTTGCCTAGCAAATTTCAGTCCAGAGTATTTTAATTAAAATTTAAAAAAAAATTTTTTTAAACATTTCTCCGGTATGATTATTAGATAAATTCTATACCAATCGAAAGTATGAAGCCCATAGAATATGCAAACGCTAGGTTGTTTTTAATCAATTAATTATTTATGTGTATATTTTTTATGTGACACTAAAGTATATATACATCTTTAGTAAAAAAGAAAGTTAGAGTGATACATATATAATACTATCCTGATTAAAAATATTCAGATAACAGAAATTCGTTAAATTAGATAAAGTTTAACTAAAGGCTTTTATTATCATAGACATGAATACAAATATTTCATTTTACCTTATTACTACGAAGATTATTATAGAATTTCATTAATTGTAATAGAATTGTTACTATCATTGAAAAACGTGACGATTTGCTACAAAATTTCTCCCATACGTCGATAAAGAAGTTTCATTCCAACGCCGATAAAGAAGTTTGACTTCAAAAAGCAACATGGCGCGTAACCGAAAAATGTGACGCGTAACGAAAAAATGTTACACTAAATTTTTTTCCAACCTCGATAAAGAAGTTTCACTTCAAAAATGTACTACATGCAAATTATAAAAAAAAATTTTTTTTTTAAATATTAATTAAACATACTCTGGACTGAAATTTGCTAGGCAACCCATATGGATTATATTTATTGACATATTAAATTAAATATAAAATACGTTTCATTAAATAAGCATCTCGGT